ATACCAATCATCAATTTCTGAATCAAATATTATATTTTTGATTTTTCTTTCTGTCCATTCTTCTAGTTGTTGAATTTCTTCCTTTGACAGAGTAAGCTTCTTTTCAACTCTTTTACTTTCCCAATCTATTCTAATGTCTTCTAATTCTCCTTTATATTTATTTGTACATACTTTATTTCCTTCAATTAATTTATCAATTCTTATTTGTTGTGCTTCCATCACTTTTGTAATGATAGTATCAACTTGTTCTGATAATATCTCTTTATCTTCGTATCTAATTTTGTTAATTCTTTGATAGATATTCTTTAAATTATCTATCATCATCATTCCATCTTTTATTTTATTTTTAACTATTTCATTTCTTCTAATTATTTCTTCTTTTCTATCATAAATTCCTTCTATTCTTTTAATTCTATCTTCTGGACTTTCATTTTCATTATCAGTTATCATTTCTGCCATTCTATTTTCCCAACTTTTATTATATTCTTGTGCACTTTTCATGACCTCATCAATCTGATTCTTAACACTATTACTTATTTCTTGTAATTCATTAAACACTTCATTTCTTTCTTCTTCGTTTATGTTCATTCTTCTTTTATTCTTCTTTGGTATTTAGTTTGTTTCTTTTTCTTTTTATTTTCTTTTAAGCATCATTTATTTTTAAGTTCTAATTATTAGTTCTATTTATTAATAGATCATCTATTTTTATCAATTATTATAAATAGATTAAATTAAAATAGATTATTTATTATTTTATTATTTATTATTGTTAAGAAGGTATAATGTCAGAGACACCACACAGAATCCTAAAATAATTCCATCCTTCGAATCCACCAGTTATGGATTGGTTATGGTGTTGTATTTAGTTAGAAAAACATCTTACCCAATACTGCAAGAATAGCAGGGTTTATTAATTACAATGATGTGATGTCATTGATAATAAAAGAATGGATATTTATAAAGATGTTATTATTATTTATTAGGGTACAAAGCATATTTGATATTATGGGTATTATCAAAGAAAAAAGGTGTGGTTGTTGTGGTTGGTGCTAAAAAAATATTAGCCCACTAATAAGTAGTAATTATATATTCTCCTTAAAATAAGAAAATAAAGAAGAAGAAATTTAATACCCATCAAAGCCAAATAGAAATTAAATAATTAACATTTAAGTAAGGAATGTTTAAAATACTCTACTCTACTCAAAAAACGAGAAAAGGAAGTCTTGCAATTCAACAACTAAAACAAAGAATAAGCTAATAGTTGATGAACAAACACTTTAATGCAATGTGATAGGATTATTTAATCTCTGCTGAGCAAGGAAATATAGAAAATATTTCTATTTAACACTTAATTAACTACTTTTTATTAAATATTATTGTTAATAGTTTATAAATTAAAAACAAAAAATAAAGATAATAATCAAATCAATGAAATGATAAAAGATATGAAAAATACAAGAATAATAAATATGAATATAAAGAAAACACAACAAATCAAACAAATAGAATTTTAATTGATGTGTTGTATTGTTTTGAATTAATTTGTTAAATAAGAAATTAAGAAATAAACAAATAGAAAGCATAATAAAAGTAATAAATATCAATGTAAATAACGAGAAAGAATACATTAATAATATTAAAAAGTCACATAGAATAAAAGAAACAACTAAAAGATACATTGAAATAAAAATAAACTCAATCATAGAATATAAAATAGAGTGTAATTCAATAATAAAAAACATCAATATGAAAATAATTCTGTTGGTATTGATGATGAATGTCTTAACTCTATCATCAATCAAGTTAAATAAATGAAAATAATAAATGTGTAAATATTAATAACGATTTGAAGAGAAAACAAATGATGAAATAATTAAAAAATGTAAAAAGAAACAAGGAATAATGAGAATAAGAGAAAGAAAATAACAAAAGAAATCAAAACAATAATTACAAAAGTTAGAGGATAGTATTTAAACAAAAAGTAATTCAATAAAATATAACGATAATTATTAATAATGAATTCATTAATTTTTACAATAAGTGATTAACAATAATAATCACCTGATAATATTCATAAGTATAACAGAATTACAGAATACTAATTAAAATAACTAATAGAACAATTGAATAAGAAGAGGATAAAGAGATATTTAATAGGAAATTAGTATTCAATATAATTGTAAAATAATTTATAAACAACTCCATTGTTTATTTTATATTTTAATGATTTTAATAAAAAGGAAATATAAAGTAATTAAATTTATATTGTCTTAGAGTTGAATTATATATCTCAAATAAACATATAGTATTGAATATTATTTCTTTTACTCCTGTTTCTGTATTATAAAATTATTGATTTATTTTAAATATCTCTTCTAATACTTATATTTTATTATTATGTTATATTATTGATGTATAAGGATGATAATCTAATTCATGAAGATTTTGATAACAACATATCAATATGATATTTGCAATTATTAATTTATAATGATGAACATAAATAAGAGATTGAAATATTAATAAAATGATGATAGTAATAATAAAAGTGTTAATATTAATGTATAATATTCATACAAATAGGAAAATAGAAAAATATGTTCATAGAAGAATAAAAAAATTGATGAGAACAGAAAGAATAACAAATATACTATGTCTCATCAAGATTCTTTGATTATTAAATCCATCATCTTGTTTTTGTTGATTATTCCATCTTTCTTCTTTGTTTGGTTCATTGTTCTCATTACTTTTTGATTATTGTGATTCATCATCTTTACTATCTTTTTTTGTCAATATCTTTTGGTTTATTTTGATCTCATTTCTATTCTTCTAGTTCTTTTATTTCTGGTTTAGTATTTTTCACTTTGTCCTTCTGTTTGTGTGTCACATGTTTCTTTTGTGTTTTTGAGTCATTGCTTTGTTTGTAGTGACTGTGGTTTGACTACTGGTTGTTTGGGTCCTTTGATGTACTTGTTGTTCCTGACGATGTTTATGATGAAGATTTCCTTTTTTATTCTTGTTGTGTCTTTCCATCTTGTGGTAATGTTGTTGGTTGTGTATCTGTTATGTGAGTTTGTTTTGTTCTTTCAGTTGGTGTTGATGTTGTGATTGCAGTTGTTTGATCTTTTGGTGTGCATCTGGTTCAATTCTAATCTTTTTTTTTGTTAATAATGTATTTTCTTTTTGTACATCTCTAGTTGAATGTTCTAGTACTGTTTCATAAACTTTTGTATCTACTGATTGTGTTAATGTTAGTGTTACCTTTTCTTGTTCTGGTTTTTAAATGTGTATTATATCTACTGTATATTCTTTTATGTTTATTTGATTATATTTATGTGTATAACTTCTTTTTCTTTATTGTTAATATTCTTTGTTCTATTTGTAATTATAATAATTATCATAAATGTAATCATTGTTTGTATTTCAACTCTTCTCTTTAATTACATTCATTTCTTTCATTTATTTTCATTTTCAATTGTAACGATTAATTAATTCAGTACTCATTCTATTTCATCATATTATCATATCATTGTGTTTGTAATTCAATAATAAATAGAATGAAATATTAAATTAAAATTTGATTCATTTTTATAATTCAACAACCAAAATGAATAAAATATAAATAAAATAAATGATGGTAATAACAACAATCATCATAACAATACAAAATAACAAATTCAATTCATAACTCAAATCCCTATTATTTTAAGAATATATATTCATTATCGTTTATCAAATGTTTGTTCATTAAATAATCAAAGTATTGTTTATAACTATTTTAAGCAATAATAATTAAATAACAGTTGTATTGTTGTTTGTTTAAATAACCAATTAGTTATTTTCTATTTTGACTCAATTGAAAAATATAATTTAATTTTATATCATGCTGTTTCTTTAATGCAAGTCACAACAAAAGTCATAATTATCATATAAGACTAAAATAAATAAGTTATTGGTAGTATTTATTCGAATAATTTATTTAATGGAATTTAAATTGAATGATTATTGATTTCATTATAATTCATTATAATGAAATATTTTGTTTATTAAAAATTAATTCAAATTATTATTATTCAATACTTGTTTATTATCCTTTTTAATAGTATTATTTATTTATTATATACGTTATAATACATTCTTCTTTCATATTTATTACTTATTCTTTATGTAATTATTCATCATTAATTGAATTGTTATTCACTTTCTTTTATCAACAATTTTTATTTGTTATTTGTAACGAATTGATGAAACTTATTATTAAAAATTCTGTTGTTTGTTATAATTATATTATAACTATGTTTATTAAACAGATGAATGTACTAATGAGTAATAAATGTGAATAAATTTAATTATTATTTATTTTTATGTCATGACTTGTTTCATTCTATTTAATAAGTTATTTAGTATCTATTTTCATTATTAATTGAATCTATGTTTTTATATTTCATAATTATATTTATTACTATAACTTCTTATTATTCTTTTATCTTTAATATTTCACATGAGAATAGTATATATCTTTCTTATTCATAGTTTAATCCCAGTAAATAATATCAATGAAAGTGAGGAGACAGAGATTTACCTATGTTTACTGTAACAAAACAATAAGTATTTTATTTTATAATATTTCAACTACTTCTATAATACTCTTTTGTATCATCATAATTAATAATAAACGTTAATTTATTTTACACTCCAGTATATTATTCAATACGAAATTAAGAAGTAATTAACAAATGATGGTGTATTGATTTAAAATTGAAGTTTTAAAGAATCTAAAAGATACAAAGTAATCAAGTTATTTCAACTACATTTAAATATATTGACTAAATACAATTAATAATGATTAATAATAAGAAAGAAGGAATAACAAACACAAAATTATAAAAAAAAAAAAAAGGAAAATAAAAAGAAAATAAAAAGAAAAAAATAAAAAATGTAAATTATAAAAATAGTAATAATTAAACAAAATCATCTTAAATAGTTCATTTAATAATACCATGTCACAAGAACAACTTATTCAATTTGCCAATCAATTTGTTAATGTATTTTATAATGCATTTGACACCAATAAATCAAATTTAGCTAATTTCTTCCAACAAATGTCTACATTAACATTTGAAACAAATACAGTTCAAGGTCAACAAGCTGTTCTTGAAAAAATTCGATCACTTCCATTTACTTCAACTAAACATGTCATCAGTGTTATTGATGCACAACAAATCCCAAGTAATGGAGTAACTATGGTTCTTATTAAAGTTATTGGTAAATTATCAATTGATAATGAAAATCCACATACATTCACTGAAACATTTGTACTTGCTCAAAACAATGGTAATTGGTTTGTTTTGAATGATATTATGCGACTTGCTGATATTTAAAATTGATTTTTATTTTAACTCTTTTTTTTTTAAAAGTATATTTAAATGAAATAAAAAAACATATTAAAAAAACTAAAATAAAGTATTTTCAATGTTAAAAGATTTAGTATATTATTTTATAATTATTACTAAAAATTAAATTAGAGCTCTTCTTTGATTTGAGGGAAATCTTCATTTGATTCTATTCCATTAATATTAAAATCTTCAGAATCATTGAATTCATTTTCTTCATTATAATTATCTTCATTCATTTGTTTCAATAAATCTTCAAAAGTACTATCATTACTTTCATCTTCAATATCATCAATATCTTCTAAATCAGCATTGCTTAATCCTAAAGATTTCATATAATCATCATATTGTCCTTGATATTCTTGTTCTTTCAATCCTTCTTCAATAACTTCTATATGTCCATTATCTATACCACCACAAACTTCAAGAACCTTTTCTGCAATAATATCTTGATTTAATTGTATACCATCTTTAATTGAAATTAATGTTTTATTTTCAGGAAAGATTAAAACAATAGGAAGATCATCAAAATCATATTCAGGTGGTAATTCATCTTCATCTAAATTCATAAAATAAGTTTTAGTATTAGGAAGTCTTTTTCTTAATGGATCAACCCAAACTTTTCTAAAATATTGAGTTGTACAACCAATAATAACTACACATTTATCTTTATGAATATATTCTTGAAGATCATTTGAAACTATTTCATCTTCTCCAACATCTTCTCTCTTTCTTGATTGTAAATATGGTTTAACTTTTCCATTAAATACATCATGAATAAATTTATTTACAGATTCTTTAGTTAATGTTCCATTAAAAGGATATGATGTTCTTTGATTTTTATGAAGAATAGCAATACTTGGTGCTGTCTTTAATCCATATTTTTGTAATTGTTCTGGAAAAGAATTAATATCAAATTTAGTAACAACCATTTTATTATGATAATTTATTGCTATTTCACTAAATAATTGATCATATTCTTCATTTAATGTTTGATTAAAAAATACCCATAATATATATCTATTATTAATATCATGAATATATATTGGATCAAATATTGAATAAAGTGGAAATATACCATTTGATATAAATGTAATTAAATCAGTTGAATTATCATATTCAAAAAAATGTGTTTGATTTCCAATTCTATGTCTAATTTTAACTTTATATTCTTTATTATTAAATTTTGAAATAAATTCATTACCAATAGCACTTACAAATAAAACTTCTTCACTTCCCTGTATTTCAGCAATTGCTTTATATTTCATAATTATATCAATATTCTTTTCATATGTAAATAATATAACAACAATTGGTATTTCTGAATTTAATATTTTATCTAATTCTTCCATTGTTTTAACATCTGTTGTAATTGGTAACATCATTTGGAATACCCAATTTAAAACCATTGATGTTTGCCATGCTTCAGTATATTCAATTGGTTTTTCATTTGGTCTTAAGATGAATAGACTTGGTTCATTTTGTGGTTTAAATGACTCGATAACATTATATTCAGTTACTGAACTTATTAAATTTGGAAATTCCTCTGCCAAACTGACTTGAGTTCTATTAACAATACGTTGTAATTGATTACATTTTTCATCAAACTCTTTACATGCAACTAATAATATAGGAATTTGTGGATTTGATAATATTGATGTATCAAATGGAGGTAATACACTTCCAATGACTATTTGAATGATTAATAATATAAACAATAACATAATTCATTCAAAGATCTTTTTTTTTTTTTTTTTTTTGAAATAGATTTTATATTATTTTCATATATAATGTGATTAATAACAAATTAAAAAAAAAAAAAAAAAAGAAGAATGTCTCATTTAATTAGAAAAATAAACACTAAAAATAGAGAAGCGAAAAAATTGCTCAAAATCCAAATGAATAAAGAAAGTATTTGAACAACTGATACTGAATATTTCTGTTAATAAATAATAAACAAAATGAAGGTAATTGATATTCTATTGTTACCAACAAGTAACTTTTTTAGATATTGTCTTACTGGATTTTTGTATAATTATTCAGTATTTTTTTATAATATTGTAATTCCATTTCTTGCAGATGATTATGGTGGATCATCATTAGAATTAGCAGCAATGATATCAATTGGTACAGGATGTGTTTCAATTTTCTCACCATTTTCAGGAAAAATAGCTGATAAAACAAATCCATTTATTATTATGCGTTTAGGAATATTAGCATTTATTATTGCATTATTCTTTCCATTATTTATTAAAAATAAAATGTGGGCATTATATATTTCTATGATAATTTATGGAATTGGTGGTGGATTTTTTTGGGCTGTTATTGTTGGTTCAGTAGGTAAAGAAGCACCTAAAGGACAAGAAAATAGAAGAAGTGCAATTTTTTCAGTATCATGGAGTATTGGAAAAGCTTTTGGATATTTATTTGGAGGATTATTAAAAGGAATTCTTGGAATTAAATCATTCTATATTGCTCTTGCATGTCTTATTACTATAGAAATTATTTATCCAATAAGATTACCAAAAGAAGTGAGAGATAGAATAAAAACAGAAAAACAAGAGAAAGAAAAAAAAGATAATCAAAAATCAACTGAATTAAATGATATTCATATTGAAATGAATGATTCAAATATTATTGATAATTCAACAATTAAAATAAATAAAAATGAAATAATTAATAAAGAAGAATTAAATTTAAAGAAAAAAGAAGAAAAAATACGATATAAATGGGAAGGAGGTGAATATAAAAATAAAACATATATTTATATTGGTTATATCTTTAATTTTGCTATTAAAGGAACAAATTGGGTTATTTCATCTCAATATATTAAACTTGTTAAAGATTTTAATATTAAAATTAATTTATTTGGTGCTAATCCAAATGAAATGTTTGTTGGAGTATTTTTCTTCTTTTTATATCTTGCACAAACAACTTCATTAATTTTAATGGCTCTTACAACTCAATGGACTTATAGAAGATCAGTTATTTTACTTGGACTTATAGTTACAGTTATTCTTTATTTAGTTATGGCAGTAAGTAATTGTAATTGGTTATTATGTATTCTCTCTTATATTGCTGGTTTATCTTCTGGATTTGCTAATCAAACTTCAGTTTATTATTCTCTAAGAGCATCTACAAATAATAAAGGATTATTTGTTGGACTTTCAGAAATAACTTCAGGAAGTGGAATGACTATTTTACCATTAGTTGCTGGTTTATTAGCAAAATCATATGATGATAATCATGTACCATTATACATTAATATATGTGTAATAATTATATGTATTATTATATTTGATATTATTTATCGATTAATGTATTTCATTAATTCTAGAAGAAATGCAAAAAGATTAAATAGAGAAGAACATCCTCCTACATTATCTATTGTTACTCAACCTCAAAAATCAAATAATAATTCTAATGAAGCTGATGATATTCAAATTCCTGTTGAAATGATTCCAACACCACTTGCAGGAGAACAAGATACTTCTCCAAGTGAAACTTCAAGAGATAATAATTAATCTTTAGATTCTCAAGAAAAAGAATGATAAAATCATAAAAATTGTTTTTTTTTTTTTTATTTGTTTTATTTTTTTAAAATATGAAAAAGAAGAAAGATATATTGTTTAAATTTTTTAAAAGAAGTAAGAAATATAAAATAAATAATATTGTAATATTATAATTAAATGAAATTAAAACTATGATTAAATAAAAATAAATTATTTGATATTTATTTTAAAAGTATCTTAACTAATACTTACAAATGATATTTAATTAGTTATGATTTAAATAGAACTAAAAGATAGTATTAATTCAAAGCAATATTAATGAATTAATTATATTCTATAAAATATAAGTGAAATAATAAAGATAGAAAGAAGATAATTACAAAATAATTTGTTAAATGTAAATATTTATTATAGAAATAAAATAAAGAATAAAAGAAAGAAGTAAAATCATTATCTAATAAATAATATAAAACAAGATAATACAAATCATCATAAATATGTTTATTAGTATTTTTTTTTAATAATTCCAATAAATATTAATTTAATAAAGATATAATTTTAACAAAGTTGTTTTATTGATAATCGATTTAACATTGCACTTGATCTTTTATGTGTTTGAATTGAGGATTGTTGTCTAACCCATCTATTACTACGATTAACAATTGGACTTTTTGATATTGTAGATTGTTTTAATAACTTTTCATTAAAAGTATCTTTATATAATGTTTGAGGATTCATTATTTGATCATAACGACTTTCAATAAATTTCATTCCTAAATCCTATTTTATAAAATAAGTTATATTTCAATAATATTTATTAAATTTAAAAGAATAAAAACAAACAGGAAATAATTCTTTTGCATAAGTTAACATATTACTAAATGCTATAAAAACTAATTGATGAGAAGATTGAGTAAGATCATTAATAGCACTTTTTCTAATAAAACCTGGTGCAATACAAATAGACATATTTTGAATATTCATTTTACTTGTTGGATTATTAATAATTTTAATACATAATGCTATTAATGATTCAATAAATATTTTATTTTCTGATGGAACACTTTGATATATTGATCTAAATTTCATTTTCCATTGAATTGGATTTGATGCATATTGTCCTGTTATAAACATTAATTGATCAAAATGACTTTGTGGCCAAACTGGTTCTATTGTTTCTCTAAGATATTTTTTAACAATAGCAGATAATAAAATATAATCTGTTAATTGAAAATCAATAATTCCAATATATTTTACATATTCAATCATTTCAGTTACTCCTGCACATTGTCTAAATGCTCCTTCAATTTCTTTTTCATAATATAATTTATACATTATTTTTTCAAAATATTCTGGAAGAACTGTATTTTGTCTATTTTCTTGTTTTAAAATTTGATTTATTGGTTGATTATAATCAAGTGAAAGAAGTTTTTTTCTATCAGAAACCAACTATAAATGAATATTCTTTTTTTTTTCTTTAAATTACTTCTCTTTATGTATGAGAAAAAAAAAAACAAACTTTATCACTAACAAGAATAAATGGACGTAGTTTATTATCATCAAGAACTTCATTTTGAGAAATAAAATGACAATTAGTTTTAGCATCAATAAGAAAATTAATAAAACAACGATAAGTTTGAATATTAAATATTTCTTGTATTTGTTGTTTCTTAATACGTTCATATGTACTAAATTTTTCTTTCCAATCCCATGGTCCTTTTAATTTATCACTTAATTTTCTATAATTTTCTGCCTATTTCAATGAACTTAAATTATTAATTAAATATATTATACAATTTAACAAACTACTAATCCTAACTCTGTTTTCAAATTAACTTGAAATTTCATAGTTAAATTAAGAAGTGATGAAAATGATGCTGGTGTATCATTCTGTGGAAATGAAGTTATAACACTTTCAATAATCTTTTCAAATTCAACCATAGCACCTTGAATTGTTTGAATAACATTTCCGACTTGAGAAGCTTTTTGTGCTAATTCAATTGTTTTATTATATAAATTAAAATCATATTTTTGATAAGGTGAATTAACTATCATTACTTGGTTTGATATAACGTAGATCTTTATTTTCTTAATTTATTTTCTATATTCTATTTCTAATGGCATTTAATTCTTTTTATTACCAACTTGATTAAGTTATATCTTTCTTATTTTTATTATTATCTTTTCTCTTATGATTTTATTTTTATAATATCATAAATTAATAACATAAATATTATTTTGATTTGAACTATTAATTTATTTTTTTGCTTTCTGTTTTTCTTTTTCTTTCTTTTTCTTTTCTTCCTCTTTTTTCTCTTTTTCTTTTTCCTTTTCTTTTTTCCTTTTCTTTTTCCTTTTCTTTTTTCTTTTCTCTTTTTCTTTTAATTCTTGTTTTTTTCTTTTCTCTTTTTCTGCTTTTTTCTTCTCTTCCTCTTTCTTCTTTCGTTCTTCTTCTTCTTTCTTTTTCTTTATTTCTTCTTCTTTCTTTTTCTTTATTTCTTCCTCTTTCTTTTTCTTTGCTTCTTCCTCTTTACGTTTTTCTTCTTCTTGTTGTTTCTTTAGCTTATCCTCTGTATCACTCTTCTTCTTAATTTCTTCTTCCTTTTTTTTTTCTAATTCTTCTTTCTTTTTTTTTTCTAATTCTTCTTTCTGTTTAACTTTCTCTTCTTCTCTCTTTAGTCGTGCAACCTCTTCTTGTTTGAGTCTTTCTTCTTCTTGCTGTTTAAGTTCAAACGCTTTTTGTTCTATCTCTTTCCTTTTTCGTTCTTCTTCTTCTGCATTTCGTTTTGCTTCTGCTTCTTGTTCATCCTTTTCAAGTTGATATTTTAACAAAATGAATGGTTCTACTTGTTGATAAAGAAATTTAGTAACTACATAACCAACAACCCATCCTCTAAGATCAGCACATACAATAACTTCAATATTTGTTGATTCATTTGGGACTTCATCATATACTCTAATTCCTATTTTTTTATAACCCCTCACTAACTTTTCATTGTAAGTATTTTGTTTTTCACTATTTACACTAGAAATAACAATGTATTGATCTCCTTCAAATTTATAATTTGTTTGAACAAATAAAAAATCACGAGGTGTAATTAAACTTCCATAAGGAAGTTGTTGAATTTCATAATTTAAATAAGAATCATCACTTTGAAGTAATGTTTTCATTTCAGTAATATTTGGTTCTAATGATTTCATAAGAGGAATATCAAAAAGAGACTCAACAACAAATCTTTTTGGTTTTTTTATAAAAATTACATAACGGGCAAATCGTTGATTATTTTCATTTGGTAAAACACTATATTGTAATACACCATCTGGGGATGCTTCAAATTGCCATTTCTTTTTATTCATTTGTCTCATCCAAAGTTGTAATGGTTTAACCATTCTATCAAGATCTACTTCATTATTTACATAAGGAATATCAGGAATTTCAACACTCATAATTGGCTTACTAGTTCTATTTTATATTCATTATTCTTCTTTTTCTAAAAATTAATATCTTTTCCTTAAATCATAAAACCCTGAAAACAGAACTAATGTCTTTATTAAAACAAGTACAGAACTTTGATTTTAATGCTCTTTTACTTACTCATTGTGCTTGCTTCAGCCATTGACTATTATCAAATCCTTGGTGTTTCAAAACAAGCAACACAATCTGAATTAAAGAAAGCATATCGTACATTATCATTAAAATATCATCCTGATAAACCAACTGGAGATAAAAAAAAATATGAACAAATTAACAAAGCATATGAAGTTCTTTCAGATGAAAACCAAAGAAAAAGATATGATGAAGGTGGAGAAGAAGCTTTAAAAAATCCTGATGGAAGAAATGGATTTGGTGGATTTGATCCATATAATTTTTTCAGAGATATAAGACCACATCAAAAACATCAAATGCCTAATATTGAAATTGTATTAGATGTTACATTAAAAGATTTATATAAAGGTAAAACTATAGAAGTATTACATAGAAAAAGACAATTATGTCATCATTGTCATGGTACTGGAGGAGATACACCAGATGATGTAAAAGAATGTCCAGTATGTCATGGAAGTGGTATTAAAATGGAAACAAGAAGAATTGGACCTGGTTTTATTCAACAAGTCCAAAGTACTTGTGATAAATGTGGAGGAAAAGGAAAATTATATGGAAAAGTATGTCATGTTTGTAATGGAAAAAAAGTTGAAGAAGGAGAAACTACTATTTCAGTAACAATTAATAAAGGAATGAGAGAAGGAGAAATTATTAAATTTGAAGGATTTGGAGATGAAAAACCAGATTGGAAAACAGGAGATGTTATTTTTAAAATTCATACAATTGAAAATCCTAATTTTATACGTAGATGGGATGATTTAAGAACAACATTACATATTACATTAAAAGAATCATTAATTGGATTTACAAAAGAAATAAAACATCTTGATGGTCATATAGTTAAAATAGAGAAAAAAGGTATTACACCATATGGAAGTGTTATTAGTATAGAAAATGAAGGTATGCCAATTAAAATGAAAGAAACAAAAGGAAAATTATTTGTTGATATAGTTGTTGATTATCCACATTTTCTTAATAACCAACAACAAGAAGCAATTGAAAAATTATTTTAGTTAAAAAAAAAAAATAATAATTCAATTATTTTATTTATTTTTTTTCAAATAATTCATTAAATGAGAAATCTTTTGTACTAATTTCTTGTTGATTAAATGATGTTGGATCTTCACAATAAAATCCTCTTTTATCAAGAATATTTTCAATTTGTGTTTTCTTAAATCCTTCAATATTTATTTCTTCTAAAATTTGATTTGTAATATCATAAAATTCAAGTGTTGTTTTACTTGAACCAATTTTAATAATCATGGGACTATTAAATGAGTTAATTTTTGTTTTTGATTGATTTTTAAAATCATACAAACTAATTAGGATATTTACTATTAATAAATGCACTAATTCCTGGTTCTGTTCTTAATGTACATGTTGGTGGGATATTTAAAACTGCTCTAAAATATTTATTAACATCAGCTTTAATAAGAATATCTTGTGAAAATGCAATAGTGAAGAAAAATATGAAAATAATCATTTTATATTTTTTAGTTTAAAATTTTATGAAAAATTAAAAAATTAAAAAAATAAAATAAAAATTTATTTTTAAAATTTTTAGATGTTTCAAAATATTAGCAAGGAAATAATTTATTTTTAGAATGAATATTTTTAAATAATTTTTATTCTGTTAGTTAATGGTAAGATATAAAACCAACCAAATGACTTGTTTTTTTATTTAAAACTAATATTGTATTATCCACATCTATTCAATATTTAATAAATATAAAGTTAAAGTATTAATTATTTAGATAAATAGAGACCATTTTAAATTAGTTGACAAGTCAAAATGAGGAAATAACAATATAGTAATTTTTGAGAAGGAAAAAGTTTACCCTTTAGACTTGGACTATTTTTAAAAATAACTCATAATGAAACAGGAGTTAATTTAATTTATTTTGGTAAAACCCAGTTTAATGGAAGAAAGAATTGTATTTAATCAGAAGAACTGACAAAAATTAATCGCCTATTCGAATTATGGAATCAAGTACTATCTTTCCTGTTCGAATAAAAAAAGTAGGTAAAACAAAATCTATTAGTGTTGTTTATAATATAAGACGTGAAGACCTTTTTACTCAAGATTTTGAGGAAAATGAAGAATGTGATTTAGAAGTAAAATCTATTTTATCTGGATCATTTGATTTCATTAAGACTCATTTCATTATTGAAGGAAATGAAAATGTTCTTGATCTAGTTGCTGTTAATTCAAACTACTCATAAATAAAAAGTAGTTTTGAATACTATTCTTTTTTTCTATTAAAGAGTGTAAATTATTTTTTGTTAAAAATTTCTTTTTGTTTCTTCTTTTTTTAAAATTTATTCTATTAAATTAAATTAAAAAAAAATTAACAGTATAATTAACACATTCTGTTCATATAAACAGGAGAAAATCGTTTAGCTCCTTCTTGATAAGATAATCCATTCATTAAACATGGTTCCAATTGATCTTTTGATGAAATCCAAATTGTTTGTAATTGTTTGAGAAAAGAAGTAGTTTTCTCAGTTAATTGAACAAAAAATCCTTTTGATTCTAAAGAATTTAGTGCTGTTTCAAATGAATATTCATATTCTTTCATAAAATAACCAAGAATTAAAGAACTTATATGGAAAGATTTATCAGTAGATACAATCACAACTGACTTTTCATTTCTTTTATTATCTTTAATAAAATTAGAAATAATATTAATATACTTTTCAAAAATAACAACACTAGAACAATCAGCATTTAAATGAGTATAATTTACATGGACAGGAAGATATTCTATTTTTTGATATCCACATGAAATAATAGTTCCTATATTATAGGTTTTATAAAATTTACTATTCATAACATCATTAATATTTGCTAAAAGGATATAATCTTCAATTTTAATAACTTGATTCTTTTCATTTAATATTGGATAATAGACAGATTGATTATTTCCCATGTTAAGTTTAGTTTGAATAAAATAGTTCTATCTATTTATATACAATAATTAGGATCTAAACAATTAAGGGGGTAAATTATTAATTATCTTCCTTCTAGTTCTATGATATCTTCTTCACTTTAAAAAGAACTTAAGTAAATGTTATTAATCATAAATAATCAAAAAATTTAATTTTTAATAAGAAGAATAGAGTATCAAAACATTCTTTTATTTGTTCACAAAATGAATATTTTATTGTTTTTAAGAATTAATGATTAATAATTGATTAATTTTGATGAGTTAAGACATTAGATTTATTTCACTTTTTGAATCTTTTACAAAATAACATATCAATATACTGCATATTATTATTTATAAACATTCTTTTTGATTCTTATTTAGGATAATCCTTTGAAAAAGAGTTTGTTAGCTTTACAAATTAAATACAAAAATTGTACATGTTAATATTTTTATTATTACATTTTTTGAATTTTTAAATAACAATTTTTTTAAATAACATTTTTTAAATAACATTTTTTTAAAATACAAAAAAATAAATAAATAAAAAATTGTATTTAATTTTTTTGAGTTTGGTTTTTCAAAGAAGGAAAAACAGTTTTTCTTATTAGTGGAAGAGCAACAGTTAAAGCAGCATTCATACGATATTCTAAAGTGTTATTACAAACAATCTTATCACCATAAGAAACAACTGAAACACCACCAATAACAGTTGGTTCTAAGAAATTTTTATCATCAACTTGAATTTTTAAAGAAGAATCCATTTTCTTAACAATTTCAATAGCTTTTTTAACTTTATCTAATTCAACTTTTAAACATCTAATAGTAACTTCATTATCTTCAACTTTTTTAATTCCTTCTTGAATTAATTTAATTAATAATTCTTGATATGTATCATTTTTAACTGATTCAGTTAATTTATTTCTAACACTCTCCATTAATGTTTGAATATGTTTATCTTCTGCTTCAAGTAATTGAAGTCTTGATTCTGATAATTCTTGTGAAAAAGTAATTTTCTTTTTAACTTCAGCCTCTTTTACTCTTCGTTGATAATCAGCTTCTAACTTATTTCTTTCTTTTTCAATATATGTTGCTTTTTCTCTTTCACACTCTTGTTCAGCATTTGTTCGAATTTCTTGTTCTTTTGTTTTTGCTTCAAACTCAATAAATTTAATCATTTGTTGGAGTTGTCTTGAGACTTGAGTATCAGTCATGTAATTTTTATTTAATATTTTCTAGTATTTTTTGTTTATTCCTTTTGATACCTTGTTTTTTTTTTTGTACTTTTATTCAATACTACTTTTCTAAACAAAAATTGATTTCAAAAACCATAATTACTATTTTTTTTTTTAATTTTTTATTACTTTTTTATAATTTTTAAACTTATTCCTTTTACAAAAAAAAATAAAAATAAAAATAAAAGAAATAAGAAAAAGTATTTATTGAATGGGAGTTTGGGTCTTAAGTGAAGGGAAAAGAATCTTTCTTATTAATGGAAGTGCTATAGCTAATGCTTGATTCATACGATGTTCTAATGTATTATTACAAATAATTCTATCACCTAATGATGCAATAGTAACACCACCAATAACAGATTCTTCTAAATAAAACATAGTATCAATATCAATTTTAATTTTTGGATATTCTTTATTTATTTGTTTAATAGCCTTTTCAACTAATTTAATATCACGTTCAACACAACGAATTGTGATGTTATTATCTTGTAATTTTTTAATTCCTTCTTGAATTAATTTTATAAGTATTTCAGGATAATTACTTTCTTGTGTTGATTTTATTAATTTATCACGTACTTCTGTCAGTAATGATTGAATATGAATATCTTCTGCTTTTAATAATTGAAGTCTAGCAGCAGAAAGTTCTTGTGAATGTGAGATTTTCTTTTTTGTTTCTGTTTCTTTAAGTTTTTTATTAAATTCTAAATCTATCTTTACTTTTTCTTTTTCAATTATAGTATTTTTTTCTTTTTCACTTTCTTGATTAGCATTTGATATAATTTCATCTCTCTTTGATTCTGCAGATTGGTGAATGTATTCAATTTGTTTTTTCAACTGAGCTTCCTTTCTTTCAACTGACATCTCTTATCATTTTTAAGTTTTTTCCTAAGTTTAATTTGTTTTTGTTTATATCAAAAGAAAATAAAATTATTTTTTATTTTTTAATTATTATTTTATTATTATTTTTTTATGTTTTATTTTATCTTTGAATAACCTTTCTTTTTCAAAAAATTATCAATTAAAAACCATCTTGACAATATATCTTTAATTGTTGTTGAATGCTTTGCATCCATGCACAACTGTCTTGTTCATTCTTTTCTTCATAAATAGAATTATTATGAAATTTAAAGAATGCATCATTTCCCCACATATTATAGATAGAATCAAATTCATTTTGTAATGAATATAATACATTCATTACTATTTTTCCATATTTTGTTTTATGTAATGGAGTATCTTGGTTTGTTTCTTCATAACAAATCTTATTATAAACTTCAATAATACGAATAAATCCTTTAGAATTAGGATCTAATGGATTTTGAATAGCAAAATCATTTGCTTGTTTTATAAGAGTTTCATAATTATCTGGAATATTAATATTATGATTAAGTAATTCATTTAAAACAACACCTAATTTCTTTATATAACTTTCATTAAAATTTTTAACTTTCTCAATTTGTTCTTTCAAGAATTCTTTAAAACTAGGTTCTTCATATAAACAGAATGCAAATTTATCTAAAATTATTTTATTACTATAAATTGTTTCAATTGATTTAGGACATTTCATAGCAACTTGATCATCAAAACTATTAGGAATAAATCCAAATTTTTTTAAATAATTTATAAGTGCTTCTTTGATAGAATTATCTCTTTTTTCACTAAAAGAATCTATTGATGATTGTTGTAATAATGATATTGGTTGTTTTTCAATTTCTGTATTTATTCCTTGTAAATCTAATTTTAATTCATCTAATTTTTGATGAACCCATTTATATTCATCAATTGAAATACCTATTCTATCCATTTTCCAACTTGGATAATAATTATGTTTTTTATCTATTCCAAATTTCATATATTGTTCAGATATTTTTTGTTTTAATATTTTTCCATATTCTTTTATAAAATTATCTTTTTGTTCTCTTGAAAGATTTATAAATGTATTATATGATTGTGAAATTCTAGTTAAATTAATTCTAGTAAGTGTTTCATTCTTTGGAATATCAATATCAAAATTTTTCTTTAATCCTTCTATTAAAACTAATTCAAATGAATTAATAACTTCATTACCTATTTTTTTTTCAATGTCTTGAACTAATATTCCACAATTATTAGATGGATATTTAGATGGATTAACTGATTCAGTTGGCATAAGAAAAATATCTTTGATATAAACTTCAATACAATTATTATCTTCTTGAGATACATATACTTGAATCCTAGTATTTTCATTAATAATTCTAAAATCTTTACAAACTCTTCCAAATATTTGTTGTTCTTTTAAAATAATAATTGATCCTTTTCTCATAATTCTCCATGATTCATATGAATTCATTTGAATTCTTCCTCTTTGTGTATATTTAATATTATTATCTGCAAGTTGTTCAAAAATATTGTGTATTTGATTGTATTTCTCTAAAATAGAAATTATTTCATCTTTTACTTTTAGTCCAATTAAATGATTATCAGGTTCATCAAGATAATCTTCATACCATTTTTTAATAGTTAAAACATCATTAATATATTCATTTCTTTCTTTGTCTTCTTCAAATTTATATAATGCAGTTGATGCTTTCAATAATTTATCTGCTAAAGTAGTATCAATACTAGTTCCCATTATCTCTGTTCGTTCTCTTAAGATTTTAGCTAACAATGAACGATCTAATGATATATTACCTCCATCTTTAAATGTTAGAATTTTGATTTTAAACCATTTACCAAGTTCATTTTTTGCAACTGCTTCATCGTATGGATCCATTCTATCAGGTTTGAATGAATCTATTAAAAAATTAAATCTTTCTGTTTCATTTGAAAATGATTTCATTGTTGTAATATTTTTACTTTTTTTCTAGATCCATTTTTGTTTTTAGAATTACACGATATTTAATAATTAAATAACTTGATAATTGATTCATTGATTATATCCATTAGTTCAATAAGAAAACTAATTCTTAAATAGATGAAAAATTATTTAAATTATTAACAGATTAAAATAATGATTAGAAATGAAAAGACAAGAAAAGATAAACAAAAGTTTTGGTATTAATTTGATTTATGACAAATAATGTTTGAAGAATTTATTTTTTTATCTGAACATTAATAACAACTAGATAATTATTAAAACAGAATTACCTAATGAACTTCAACAATTTCTAAATAATATCCATCAACTTAGAGTTCAATTATTCCATATACGTACAGATATTAATATATTAAATGAAAAGTTAATGATTATTCAACTTGATGATACTGAAGAAGATTCTGATCAAAATAGTATCAAACAACTTATTAATAAATTATGTAAAGAGTCAATGAAATTTGAAAATGAAATTAAAGAAATAAAAAAGATAAATGATCTTTCAATAAAAAAATTATCAAATGAAACAATAGATAGAATTAAAAGAAATCATTTAAATTCATTAACTATCCAATTTGTTTCTTTGATGAGACAATACCAAATTATTCAATTAGATATAAAATCATCACTTAAAATGAAAGTTATTAGAAAAATGAAAATTTGTTTGTTTTTCTCATTATTTTAAGCATAATACTTAATTATAGATAATCCATCTCTCAACGATAATATGATTGAAGAAAATATTGAAAAGAAAAATATTGATAATACTCTTACTCAACAATTACAACAAAAAGAAGATAAAATAATACTTAACTTTTTAGAAGAACGACATAGAGAATTATTATCAATTAATGATGCAATAGAAGAAATTAATGAAATGTTTATCAGTCTAGCTGTATTAATTGAAACACAAGGTGAATTAGTTAATTCAATAGAAGATAATTGTAATTTAATAAAAGAATATACTAAACAAATAAATGAAGAATTACAAAGAACTTATCATCTTAAAAAAAAATTAGTAATAGTTTGTTATTATTTAAGAAAAATTATTTAAGAATAAATATTTAAAAAAAAAATTAATAGAAAATAGTTATTTTCATAATTTTTATTGTGATTATTCTTATTTTAATTCTTTGTATTATTGGAATTCCAGTAGGAATCTATCTAATGAAAAAAAACTAACGTTTAATTAAAATTAATTTATTTATCAAATGAATTAATTTCATTTTTAAATGTAATGAAAATATTATTTTATATTAATATAATAAATAAAATAACCTAAAATTAATTTAAAAATATCCAAAAGTTTCATTAGTTAATTCTTTGTGGGTTGAACTTATACTTCTTGTTATCACCGTTCAACATAACCATTCTCTTACTATAAAGATATCTAAGATAAGCTCTTCCTGATGGGAATTTCTTCTTTCCAGTATCTACTTTTTCTGGTTTCTTAGTTTGATTTCTAACTTTACCAGCTCTTGTTAAACCTCCGTGAACTTTTCCCATTCTTAACTCTTAACGACTTAATTTTAAGTACTTATTTTTTTTTTCAGAGTACCCTAAAGGGTTATTTACTATATTTTGTTTTTTTCTTTTATTATTACTTATTCTATTTTATCCTTTAAAGAAATATAAAAAACCACTAAAATAACAAAAAAAATAATGACTTAAAGCTGAGTTGAAAGAGTAGTTTCTTGAATCACTTTAATTGCTTTGTCATTAAGAGAATCAATAGCTTTACTTAATTCTTCAATAAGAGTAATACCATTAGAAAGTATTTTCTATAAATGTAAATATTATTTAATTAATTAAATAAAAAAAAAACAAAACAAACATTTGATTTAACATCATCATAAAGTATAAGAATACCATTATTTTGATCAATGATACCATTAATCTTTTCTTCAAGAATCATAATACTAATAACTTTTTCTACAGTATGAACTTCCATTCCAACTAATTTAGAAATATGTGATAATTCAATTGAAGAATAAGGTTCAAGTACACGAGCAATATTTTCTTGAACTAATGCATCATAAAGAATAGTAAGATTTTCTTTAACAAATTCATCTCCAAATAATTGATTATTAAATTTCTTTGATATTTCATTATACATTTCTATACTACGAGCATTAAATGCTTTAGATACTTCTTTAATAGAAATAATTTCAATATCATCAGAATATCCAATAGCATTTTTACTTGAAAGAACAAAATCAATTTCATTAATTTTTTGTTGCATTAATTTCATTAAAATAAGATATTTAAGTGATGAAATTGTTTGTGTTTTTAATGATAATGAATGATAATTTTCAAATGCTTCATAGAAATAACTTGCTGCAGTAATATAATCATGTTCTTCTCCATTAATAAATCCACTATAAATATCTAATTCTCCTTGAAGTATTGGATTAATATAAATTGAATTAGCATCAACACGTGCTCCAGTCATAGCACCACGTGCTTTAGTTAAATTTTTTACTTTTCTATGAACTTTAGCTTCTAATAATTGTAATTCAACAGCAAGAACTTTATCATCCATTCTTTTTGCATTTTTTAATAATTCAGTAATTAATGTTAATGCTTTACTACATTGTCCATTTTCATAATAATATTGAGCAAGTCTTTGTTCTAACTTTTGTTTTAAATAACTTCTATTTGAACTTTTAGCCCATTCAATTGTTTGTTCACAAATAGAAATAAGTAAATGAGATGAATTTGGTATTCCAGAAAGTGTATCAAGAATTTCAAGTAAATTTTTAACTATTTTTGCTTTACTCATTGTTTTATCACCACAAATTTTTTGAACATAATTATTTAATCCATTAATATCATTATTACTGGAATATTGTTTAATAGATGTAACTATTTCACTCATATTATTATTGAAGTTTTTTTTTATTTTTTTTTAAGTTTTTATCTTTTTTTTTTATTTTTTATTTTTTTATTTATGTTATTTATAACAATAAAATATTTCTTATAATAAATAAAAATTAATAATTTTTTGGGAGTTTAGTGAGTTTAGATTGGATTCAAGTATAAATCAGAGTATTTTCTTTTATAAAAAAATAAGAATAATAAACAAATATCAAATAATTACAGATTATATTATTTCATATTTTGATGATTTAACACGTATAAATGCTGATTTTTGAGAAGGACTTTTTGGGGGTTTCGTTTCGTTCTTTTCACTTTTATCATCTGGAGTTCTATTAATTTTATTTTCTCTTAATTTTTTTCTATATTCTGGGTGTAAATGAGAAAAGAACCTATTCTTTAATGAATTTGGTGTTCTTCCTTGAAATGATTTACTCATTTCTGTCCATTTATTTCCTAATATTTTTTGTAAATCTATTAACATTTGGTCTTCTTCTTTTGACCATGGTTTTTTAGCAATATCATCACTAAGACAATTATAATATCTTTCTCTACATTGTTTCCTTGTTTTATTAGGTAAACAATCTGAAACTGATTTCCAATTTTCTTTTCCATATTTTTTAATAGCATTTAATAATTTTTCATCATCATTTGATGTCCATGGAATAACTGATTTCTTACGTCTTTCTTGAAAACAACTATCTGATGATGAAATATCATCCATAGTCATATTTAATTTCTTTTTTTTTTAAGTTCTTTCTGTCTTTGATTTATATTATCCCGATAATTTACCAAAACACTGCTTTATATTCTATATGAAGTTAAATGGTCTTGATAACCTTTCAATGAGTATTATGTCTTTTTTTTCTTTTTATCTTTTTCCCGATTTATCTCATACTTCTTATTGTCTTATCTTTTTCATTTTTTCTTTCAACTTCATCATTTTTTTAATGTCCACGCAATTGAACATTTTCTTAAACTCTTCTTGATTAGAGTAATTTTGTCCAACCATTTTCTTAGTCTTTTCAAGTTCTGCACACTATTTTTGTATTTTTTGATTGCGCAATCAGAAAAATTTTTCTTTTCTATGTTTTCATTTTGTGTTTTTAATAACATAATAAAATAAAATGATTTTTATGAAAAACTTTTTTTTTTTTTTGAATATTTCCAAATTATTTTTTCTTTTTTCAACTTTCTTCTTTTTTCTTTACTCTCTTTCTTTAGTTTATTTTGTTGTTAAAAAGATATTCATTGTTTTGTTTTAGTACTCAACAATAATTATGTTTTTTTTATTAGTAATAGAATCATTTATTTGAACATTTTTGATACAATAAAATATTTTTTTTAATTAATTCTATTTATCTAATTAGTCAAATTCATATCCTTTTTAAGTTCTAAAAAAGATTCTGTATTTTATTGTTTCAGACTTAATAATATGTAAAAAAAGAATGATAAAGATTCTTAAATATAAATTATATATCAAAATAATATCAATAAATGTTTTACTCAAAAATCTCAAGACCATTTACAAACAATTTGATATAATAGTCTAACAAAAATATAAATTGAGTTGTTATTTTGATATAAAAGAATATTTAGTAATTATTTAATGAAAATAAGAACATAAAAACAGAAAATATATATTCTATTATTTTTAGATAAATCTTCCTCTCTATTTTATAAACTTACTCTTTATTTATTTCAATCTCAGAATTATCTTCTTCAATTTCAAATTCAATTTCTTCATCTGTTTTATCGTTATCTTCTTCAATTTTTTGTTCTTCTTTTATCTCTTGAACATTTGAATCAGTTGGAATATCTAATTGTTTCATCATTTCATCAAAATCTAACCCTTTAAATTCATCATGATTTTCTGATTCTGATGTTTCATCAATTTCTTCTGTTATTGATTCTGTACCTAAAAAATCCATTAAATTCATTTCAACTGGTTGTTCTTTATTTTTTTCAGTAAATACTTCTTCGTCAACATCTTCATCTGAAAATTCTAATGAAATATCTGATGATTCTTGTTCTTGATTTTCTGTGTTTTCTTTCTGTATTTCTTCTTTTTCAAATAGAATTTTTGGTTCATTCTCATTTTCTTCAATACTATTTGATATTTCTTTTTGTATTTTTGTTTTTTGTTGATGATTATCATCAGTTTTAATTTCTTTATTGCTTATAGATTGTGTATGAAGTATTTCTTCTATTTCTTCTTTAATTGTTAATTCTTCTGATGAATGGTACTTGTCTTTTTCTTCAAATTTATTCTTTAAAATGTCCTGAATTTGTTTGTCTTTTGTTTCTGTATTGATTTGAGAATTAGTTTCTTGTTTGTCTTCTTCTTCAATTTTTAACTTTTCAATGTCTTCATTTTCTCCAATAATTTCAGATGCCAAATCAATTGCCTTTTTCAAAACATCATCAACTACTTCATTTTTTACCACTTCAGTTATTGATTTATTTTCATTTGATGGTTGTGTAATATCTTTATTTTTAGAATGTTGTTGAAGTTCTTTCCATTTTCTCATTTCTTCTTCTCTTTGTTGTTTTCTTTGAAATACAATTTCTTTGATTTTCTTTTCATCTTTATCAGTTTCCTCTTCTATCTGTTTCTTCTTTTCTTCATCTTCAATTAATGTTAATACATCAGTCATTTCATCATTTTCTTTGTCAATTAATAATTTTGTACTATATCCTTCTATCTTTTCTTCATTGACATTAATTAGTGGTATTTCGTTTTGTTTTTCTTGTAATGTATTCTCTGTTTTTGTTTTAAGATCCTTTGAAATATATTTTTCAGTAGATTGAATACATAACCTTCTAATAGTTTCAATTGTTGATAACCATAAATCTCTATCTTGTTTATTTTGGCACTCAATTTCTCTTAATCCACTTTGTGTTAACAATATAATTTTCTTCTCATTACTTTTACTTATTCCAATTTTATGTATTTCATTTCCTGATAATTCTTCTATTTTTCCACTTCTATCCCAAATTCTAACTTTATTATTGACAATTCTCCAATATTCTCTTCTTCCTTTTTCAATGACAATTCCTCCATGATAATCATATCGTGTGATCTTCATCTTGATTTTCTAGTTCAATGAAACAAATTTCAAAGGGTGAAGAAGTTATTCTTCATATTTATGACTTAATGGATAATACATACCTCTATCCTATCGGTATGGGAGCTTACCACACTGGTGTTTGTATCTTTGGTAGAGAATACTCATTTTGTGATGGTGGAATATTTGATACACGTCCTAAAGATGTAGAAGCACCATTTAGAACATCAATTAATATGGGAATATTTAGAGGAAATTATAAGGATTTGCAGTATATAGTTGATTCACTTCGTTCAGAATTTGCACCTGGAACATATAATTTGTATAATAAAAATTGTAATTGTTTTTCAAATACACTTTGCCTAAAATTAGTACAACATCCCATTCCAACATGGATTAACAGAATGGCTTGGTATGGAAATCAATTTGAGAAATTCTTTGGAATAGGTCCTCAAACTCAACAAAGTACGCAAATCACCCATTCTACCTCTCAAATTCCATCTTTTGGACATAAACTATCAGAAACACCTTCATCACTTCCTAATAACCCTGAAGAAAGAAGACAAATGATTATAGAACAATATAAGAAAACAGGAATAAAATAAGATTAATTGAATTATTTTTTACATGAAGAAGCTAAATAATTAGGAATAATAAATGCAAGAAGATAAAATGATACTAAAAACAACAAATAATATCTTTTAAAGAATGAACGTTCATCAACTATATTTTTTGTTGCAACTAATAAAGTAATTGAAGTATTTGTATAAGCAGATAAAGTGATTGTTGTTAGTTGATTAGTTAATACAATATCAATCCAAGTATGATTCCAACCTTGAAAAGAAGAGAAAAAAATATTATTATAAGGAAAGATAGAAAAAATAAAAGGATATTCAAAATATTTTGAATCAAATGAAGGACCATCACTTTCAAATAAAAAGGATGTAGAGTTAATAGCAAATAAATAATATTTTGAACAAGTATTTTCATTTGTAATATTCATTCTATTTTCATTTGAAATAGCAATAATATCCATTGGTTCAAAACGATGAATTGTACTTCCTGTTTCTTTTTGAACTTTCATTCCACTAATTGTCCATTTTCCATCAACTAATGATAAAGGAATACTTGCTGAAATACAAGAGAATAAAAAGAATAAAAAAGTAATCATAATCAACAAGTAATAAATCATTTTCTAAGTTTATTTTAAATATAAAAAATAATATTTTAAACAATAAAAAAAAAAAAAAGAAAGAAAGAAAGAAATATTAAATAATTGATAAATGCAAATAGAATTTGCAGCTTATGATTGTGAATTACAACACCTTATTTTTGGATCAAATCCAATATTACAAGGAGGTTGTACTATGTATGAAACAATGAAAGGAGTTATTGGAGAAGAAGTTTGTTCATTAAGATTAAGAAATAAACAAGGTTTAAAAACAGATTGTATTTTTACTTCTCTTGATGGTGGATTAATGATTGGTGCATGTGGACCATTAGAAATTATACCAGATGTATTAACAATATTAAAAGAATCAATAACAATGAGATATGGTTGTTATAAATCACTTAAACCAATAACAGAATGCGAATGTGAAGATCCTGGTAAAGTAGCAAAAATAAGAGCTGCTTCACTCTTAAACAATCCTACATTTCTTCCTATTATTCATTCAATTTCTTCTCATATCTCATCATGTACATCTATTCTTTCACCAACACATCCTCTCTTTAATCCTAGAATTCCATATCGTTCACCAACAATAGCATCATTTACTAATTCAATGAGATATATTAGTAAACGTGTACTTGATAATTCACTACTTGGAGCAGCATTATATGTGAATAAAGAAAATTATATTACTATTGCATCAACATTACCAAGTGATATTGATCCAGTAGTTCGTCTTGTTTCATTAGCATTATCAAGTGAAACTATGGCAAGAAAAACTACAGTATCTCAAATTTATTTAACTATTTCACAACTTAATGCATTAACTGCATCATCAGTAGTTATTGGTAAACAAAATTATGATAATATTAAAAATACATTACATAATACACCAATAATTTGTGATGAATGTCAATTAAAAAAAGTAAATATTGTAGTAACTGTAAATAAAGGATTTGTAATGGTAGAATTAGCTTGTTGGGATATTACTCCAGAATACCTTGAACGTTCTGAAACAGAAAATCTTGCAGGAATGGAAGGATTAAGTTCAATTTTTCTAATGGAAGGAAGAAAAACAGATTTAATGAGATTAAGAATAGATTATGATACATTAATGGTTGAACCAAATAAATTATGGGTAAGTAATGTTAATGAACAATTATTAAAATGCATTAATATGGAAAAAATAAATTATTTAGAAGGAATAGATAATACAATTGTTGTTCCAGAAAATGAAAATGAATGTTATTATTGTTCTCAAAGTCCAAATGAATTAAATGCAATAAAAGTTAGTTTTAATGAAATTGATAAAAAAACTTATTAATTATATTTTTCTTCTTTTTATAATTTTATTTTAAATATTAAAATTAATATTATTAAAAAAATAAAAATTATTTTTAATATTTTAATTTTTTTCTTTTCTTTTGAATTAATTTTTGTATCATTTATTATCCTAAAATCATTTAATTTACTTTTTATTTTTTATTTTTATCATTTCTATAATTCAATAATTCTATAATAACTTTATTATATTTAATAAAATATTATTATATATTTCTTAAAATCTTTTTTATATTATTAATTTCTTCTTTAAATACTTTCACATTTTATCTTTATTATTGATTAAATTGATACTTTATAATTTCTCTTTAATGAATATCAATAACTTAATCTCATATCAATTTTATTTGTTGTATATTTTCACAAATCTTGATTTTTAATTATTAGTTAAGCGTTAAGCTAACAATTTTGTTGTGTATAAATAACAAATTTTTGTAAAAATCAATAAACATTAATACTATGACAAAAAAAATTCATCATTCATTAAGAAATAGAAAGTTTTTAAAGGAAAAGAACACTAAAACATAATAAGACTAAAAAACTAAATAGTAGAAATTAAATTATAATAAAAATCAAAAATCAAAAAAAGTATAAAATATAAAAGAACAGTAAATAGTTTTTCCTCATTAAAGTAAATAAATAATAATAATTATTTAATATAATGAGGAATGACAAATAAAAAACTGAATCAAAGTGGGATTATAAACTTCTTCTTTAAATTAATGAACTAATTTTTAATTAATATCATATGGAATTTGGACAAACAATTCTCCCTATTCAACCACTTCGTTTAGAACAACCTGATATTGTCACAGAAGAAGAAGAAAGTAATAATAAAGGTATTGTATTTAGATCATTTGATTCAAATACAACTAATAAAGTAACAAAACAAGAGAAAGTTGATGGGATAATTAAAGAAAAAGTTACAAAAAAAAAATATAAAAACTTAGAAAAGAAACCAAAGAAAAAACAAAAGACAACAATTATGAGTTCATTAGAAAATTGTAGTGTATTAAGGAATAATAAAATACCATTAACACACGATAATATTTCTAAAATTAATCATATGTTTCCAGTTCATAAATATATTCGAATTAGACAATGGATTAATCTTAATAATAAAGATTGTTTGTATCCATATCCATTTCTTTCAATGTAAATAATAAATTTATTTTACATTTTTCAACATTAAAATTCAATTCAAGAAATTCATTTTGTATTGTTTAATAATTCTATTTCATTTTAATTTTTTAATAATAAAAAAACAAAAATTAAATATAGATTTTAATAAAAAAAAAAAGTTAATTAATAGACCCATAATTAATCTTATTATATCTATATATCATGTATGAAGATTTAAAGAAAGAAAATAATGTTATGATTAAAACTGATGACGAGACTGATATAATCATTTCTTCGTTTTGAAGAAATAGAAATATAATTGATGTCATTGGCTATATGAACAATCTTTTTGACTCAAGACTCAAAGGATAATATTCTTCACAGAATAGAATTAAATAAAAACTATAATAAATTAATAAAATAATTAGAAGATATAGTAAAAAAAAAAGAAACTAGAAGATAAGAAGAAAAAACTATATAAAAGAAAGAAAAAAAGAGGGAAATCTACAAAATCAAACTGAAACCTAAGTAATGACTAAGTTATACATTGGAAACCTCAGCTACAAGACTACTGAAGAGAATCTTAAGACTCATTTTGAGTCATTTGGTAAGATCAAAGAAGCTAAACTTATGGTCTTCAGAGGATACTCAAGAGGATTTGCTTTTGTTGAATATGAAACTGAAGAAGATGCTAAGAAGGCTGTAGCTGCTAATGGAGTTGAATTTGAAGGAAGAAAACTTAAAGTTGAAATTGCTAGACCACCAAAAGAAAGAAAAGCAGTTACTGAAGGAGAAAAGAAGACTACTACAGGACCAAGAGGATATAGACCAAGAAGATTTGGACCAAGAAGATTCAATAGAAAACATTTTGGAAAGAAGACTAATGGAAGTAGAATTAATAAGAAAGAAAAGAAAGAAGTACCAACAGAATTCTCAGACAATCTTATCTTTGTTAAGAATCTTGCATATGCTATTAAGGATGAAGATCTTAAAGAAATTTTCAAAGAATTTAATGTTATTAATGCTAAAGTTGTTACTTATAATCATAGAGGAAATGTTAGATCAAAGGGATATGGATTTGTTGAAGTTAAATCTGGTGAAGATCAAAAAGCTGCAGTTGAAAAGTTGAACGGAAGTACTCAAAAAGAAAGAGTTATTGGAGTTTTCAAAGCTTATAAGAAACAAGAGCAAAAAGAAGAAACTCCAGTTACAAAAGCTTAAATTTTTGATTTTATTTCGTCTTTTTTTTAGGGTTTAATTGTTAAATAAAAAATAAATTTTTTTTTATTAATTTTTATTTAATAAAAAGTTTCTTTTAAAGTGTTAAATATATGAAGAAAATATCTGAATTTAAACAATATAATGGTGGTATTTTTGTTACTCAATTTACATTAAATGGAAAATATATTGTTAGTGGTGGTGATGAAAGACTTATTCGATTACATAACACTGAAAAACAAAAACTTATTAAAACTTATGCTTCTCCTTGTAAAGAAGTTCTTGATATTAAAATAACAAGAGATAATGGAAATATAATTTGTTGTGGAAATGATACAAGTATTTATTCTATTGATGTTATGACAAGTTCAATTTTAAGAAAATATGGACAACATGAAACAAGAATTAATTGTATTGAATTTAATAATCAATACAATGTTATTGCATCAGGTTCATTTGATATGAAAGTTAAATTATGGGATTTAATCTCAAAATCAAATACTCCTCTCATGTCATTAAATCAAGCAAAAGATTCTATTACTTCTATAAGTATTGAAGATAATCAATTATTTACAACGTTTGTTAAATTTATTCTTTTAAATAAAAAAGAATTTTATTCATTTAAAAAGATCTATGGATGGATTTATTAGAGTTTATGATTTAAGAAAAGGATTAATTATTTCTGATGATATTAAAAAACCTTTAACATCATTATCAATTATTAATTCTACAACAATTTCATTATCTAGTATAGAAGATTCATCAATTAATATTTATAATAGAAAAGATATAAATATAATTCATACATATAATAATCATTTTAATAAAAAGATTAGAATTAATACTGGAATATCTCTTAATAAAAAATTAATATTTACTGGAGATGAAACTGGTAAAATTTATCAATATAATCTTGTAAATCAAAATTATAGTTATCTAAAAGTATCAAATTCAATTATTGATTGTATTTCAATGAATCCTACTAAACAACAAATTGTTTATGGTACTTTTGATGGTAAAATAGGATTATTAGATTATTAAAAAATTTAATTATCATTTATTTGAATAATTATAGAAACAACATTTTTATTTTCTTTCTTCTGTATTCTTAATTTACTTTTTTCATTAATAATAATTCCTATATTTTCATTTATTGGAATAATATTAAATTCATTAATACATACTGCTTTTGAAATTAACCATCCTTTAATAATTTCTCCATTTACAGTAATATCAATACAATCCCCTGTATGTAATAAATCATTTTTATTTATCATTTTTGTACCATTATAAGCATCATTAAAAGATTCATATTTAATACTATATCCACTTATATCTTCAATTTTCTTTAATAACATTGTTAATGGATATTCTTTAATCGGATTTTTACTTTTTTCTTTTTGAATTTTGATAATATTATCATACTTTTCAGCAATACAATTAAGATATTTTTCAAATGCTTCTTTTACTGCAATACTCCATTCTTCTTGTTCAATATTAAAGCAATTATTAAATGAAATATCAAAATTAATGTTTTTATCTCTTTCTTTCTTTATTGGATTATTATTTGTTATAATAAAGAATTCTTTTTCTGATAATGGAAGTTGAATTGCAAGGTTAATATTATTTTGAAATGGTATTATTTGGTCTTCTTGTATTTGTGTTTTTGAATGTACTGAATAATATAATGTTTGAAGATTGTATTCATATCCTTGGACTGTATCAATTGGTGGAATACTTATTACTTTATCTCCCTGGAGTGTGTTGATAGTTTCATCATTAATAGCATTCCCATTAATGATGTCAACTTGTATTTCATTTTCTTCATTTTTGACTTCTTTTATTCCAAATCCGAAAATGCTTTTGACAAAATTCATTTTTTGTGTTTTTTTTTTCTAAGTTCTTTCTTTTTGTTTTTTTAGAAAATTAAACTCACTTAAAAATCATTAAAGACTTTGTATTTGATTTTCAATCATAACTTTTTGAATCCTCAATGATGACTAAGAAAATCAAAGAATATCAACAATTATTTAATAGAACAATCTCATAGTTCAACAAAGATTATTAAATAATTAAAAAAAATGAGAAGATATGTTACTTATTCAATAAATAAATGATTTATCATTTATATTATCGTTATTGGTTATCAGTAATCATAAAAGTGATTGAATTAATGATTATAGAAGAATAATTTACTTATCCGAGTATAACAACACAATCAATTGAAAATTATATTTTTTTTCTAACAGAACAAATAACAAATTGAGTAAACAATAAACAATAATCATTAATAGTGATAGTTTTATTCTATTTTCTATTGGTTTTATTAAGAATCGTTTGTGATACTCAATATTTCTCTTAATACAACTTATTAATTTAAAAAAATGATACTATTATTGTTATATATTTGTTTTTCTTTCTCATGTATTTTGTTACATTATCATTATGAATAATATTTAAATAATTTTACTTCTTATATATTATTTCTCAATTTGTTGTTGTTTATATTATAAAAATAATCAACATCATTTTTTTTTACTTCTTTATTGAATAATTAAATGGTATTGTTAAGTACAAAACACCTTTAACTGTTTTTGAAATTAATTTTATATTCTCCACAAATCTATGTCTTTGTTTTTATGAAAACATTTTTCCTTTGTTTTATGTCTCATGAGACTCTTGTATATCTTTTTTGCTGTTTGCCTGTGTTAGTTATGTCTTCGTTTATTTGTTTAAACTAATTAATATCATTTTAAAATTTATAAATCATCATTTTTCATTATTGAGTTTATTTATTTTAATGTTAATATACAGAAAACAATGAGAAATAATGTAAATCAAGAATGAAAAATGTTCTACTATTGGTTCAAAGTGTATTGATATTGTTGGGATTCAAGAGATAAAAACAATGAGTTAGATCATTAGAATTGTTTTTAGAAATATATAATGAATAAAAGACAATGAGAAAATAGAGAACAATGAATTTATATTATTGTAAAAGTATTCATACTTACAATAAATGTATAAAGACAATTTCATTTAATACACAATCATATATTGTATTAAATATTCATTCTTTCATTAAGTAATTTATTTGTATAACAAATGATAAATAAAATATAGGACTATAATGACATATATTAAAAAAGGAGAAGTTATCAAATTCACTGAATTAATTTCAGAGAGATAATAATTTTTTGTTATTAATTTAAAATAAATATAATTTTTATATTTTTCAATTATTAAAGAAAAAAGAAGAGAACTTAAAGATTCAAGAGTAACTTGAAAATGGAAGTACCAACAAAAGAACAAGTATTTGAGAAGTATATGAAATTACTTGAGAAAAAAGGATATCTAAAAGATGTTACAGAAGAAGAAAAAGAAGAAAAGGTAAATAAAGCCAAAAAGTATTTTGAAGAACATTATAATAATTTAGAAAGATTTCCAGCTATTAAAATACCAAAAACAAGTGAAGAAGTTACAGAAGAAAAGAAGAAAGAAGCTGAAATTCATAAAGTAAAAGGAAATGATTTATTTAGTAAAAAAGATTATGCAACTGCTATTTGTGAATATTCAAGGGCAATTGAATGTGATCCATTTAATCATATTTATTATTCAAACAGATCAGCTTGTTATTGTTATTTAAATAATGATGAATTAGCTGTTAGAGATGGAGAGAAATGTGTTGAATTATGTCCAACATTTGCTAAAGGATATAGTAGATTATCAGCAGCATTAATGAAAATGGGAAAACTTCAAGAAGCAAAAGAGGCTATTGATAAGGCTTTGAGTATTGAACCAGAGAATCCAAATTATTTAAATAGTAAAATGGATATTTTAGATGAATTAAGTAAAGTTGGAATAAAAGAAGAAGTGAAAGAAAAACCTAAAGAACAAATACCTGAACCTCAAAACCAACCAAAACAAGAACAAAATCAACAACAAGGAGGATTTGCTAATTTATTAAATAATTTAATGAATAATCCAGCTATTCAACAAATGGCACAAAGTATGATGAATAATCCTGCAATGATGAATATGGCACAAAATATGATGAATAATCCTGCAATGATGAATATGGCACAAAATATGATGTCAGGTCAAGGATCTATGAATGATTTATTAAATAATCCACATTTAAGACAAATGGCAGAACAAATGGCAAATACACAACAACAACAACAGCAACAAGAACCAAAAGAAAATAAATCAAATCAAAATGAAGAAATATAATTCAAAGAAAAACAATGAAATTGAATTAATTTGTGTCATTATATAGTTCTTGTAATAAATTAAGAATTTTTGGAATATCTTCAGAAGTTAATTCTTGTAATGGAATATTTTGATAATATTGTAATAAAAAATCATCACTATTTGATTTTTGATCAATGAGTTGTTGAATTTTTTGTAATGATAATTTTTGAGGAATAACTAAACCAGTCTTTGGAATTAACCATCTTTGAGATGAAATACTTTGGATAAATAATTTTTCATATTCTTGTTGTGATATAGATTCTTTTAATGAATTATAACATAAAGTTTGAATAAAATCTTTACAAGCCATAAAATTACAATAATAATAAGATAATTCACTATTTATTTGCATTTGCATTTCTTCAATATAATAAATTGTAGAATCAAAATATGGTAATTGAGCTTTTATTGTTAAAAAAAGACATAATGGAAATAATAAATCTGCAGTTACATTTGTATTTTGATAAAATCGAATCATTTGTTCTAATATTTTAAATGAAGAAAATATATACATTACTTTTTCTAATGGAGTACATACAGAATCTATTTTTAATAATAATGTTAATGCACTTTTCATTCCAATTTCATTTAATTTTATTTTTGTACCAATATGTTTTGGTTGAATAAATGAATGTGCTCTTGATAAAGAAAAACAAATATCATCACCATTAATTTCTTGTATACATTGACCTTCTTTTAATGCAATCATTGGAGGCCAAAGATATTTAAAAAGTTTATTAATTAATAACCTATTCATATTATTTATAAATGCATCTTCATTCCATCCATTTTTCCATATTTCAATTTCTTGTGCTTTTTGACATAAAATTTTAATACATCCATTAATATATCCTTTACGTTTATTAATTGGTTTATTAATAATTAATTCATTAAATCTATTAACAAAATTATCAATAATTTGAAATAATCCATTACTTTCATTTAAACTTAATTTCATAAAAAATATTTTCATATCTTCTTCTTGTTCAATCATTGATTTTTTCATTTCTCCATCAAAATCCCAATAAAAATATTTTTGACCTGTTTCTTTTTCAATTTTACTAAGTGTTGGAATATTTCTTCTAATATTATCTAGAGCTATTTGTAATTCATTATAAATAGTGAATTCATTTTTTTCTCTAAATGTCATATTGAATCCTCTTCTCCATCCCCAACAACATGAATCAAAATAAAATACTGATTTAGTGATAAGTATAGGTAATATATATGATTGATCAATAATAATATCATCATTCATTATTTTTACACTTGATATAGCAGATGCATTGAGATCGTGGAATGATATCATTCTATCTGATAATTCACGTTGATTTAACCGATAAATAGATGCTTGATGAAATGGATATAATTTAGCATGAGATTTATCAATTTTTCCATAAATACCATTTAATGTAATAAAATTACCATTAGAAACATTTAAATATGCTGCATGACAAAGAAAGAATTGGAGAGTTAATGGAATATCTTGTAATACATTTGCTTGTGGAAGAAATAATACGGCATGTGTTTGTATTAAATATTGAAGAAAATCATGATACTTTTTAGAAAGAAAAGTATAAACACGATTAATTTGAGATGATGACTCTTTGTTATGAATATAACGAGTTAATTCACTATGATTTTTTAACCATGAAATCATCTTTAGGTTCAGAAAAAAACTGACAACATTATTTTTTGGAAAAAAGTTTTTAGTTTTCTTTTTTTTTTTTTCTTTTTTTTTTTATAAAGAGAAATTTAAAAGTGAAAAGAAAAATCAAATTTTATCAATCTGTAAATTATTGATTGATCTCATTAATGATAGAATGATTAGTTTATTGTGGCTTACAATTGGCATCGTTAGTGCACTTACAGCAAATGATGTCTTAAATAAAACTAGTTATATTATTGCTATGACATCAGATAATAACAATTATGTTTATTATATTGTTAAGTCAGTTGTTAATGGAATAGAAACAAATACATTATATCAAACAAGTATTCAAAATGAAGGGAAATATTTCATTGAACTTGCTCAAGGAGTTGGAAATGAATTATATTATAGTGTTGCCCATCATTCAATATTTTATACTAAATGTGATAGTATTTGTTCATTATATTCATTCGATTCAAATATGAAAGAATATCAAGTAACTAAAGATATTGATATTTCATTACCTGTTGTTATTAAAGAACATCTTTATTTTATTTCTCCTATATTCTTTGGAATGACTGTTCAAGATTCATTAGATCTCCAAAATAAATTAGTAAATAGAAAACAAACTTCTCATCATGTTTTTACACAAACACCATTTGGAGAAGGATCATCTTATATTACAACAAATGATGATGGTACACCACAATATAAACATTTAATTTCATCAACAATTACTGTAGATGAAAATGGAAAAATTAATATTGGAAAATATACAGATATTTCAAATGAAGTAGGAAATGTTATTTCATATGATATTAGTGATGATGAAACAATAATTGTTTTTGAAGGTAAATCAACAGCACCAGCAAGTGATAAAAAAAATTATTTAAAATCATCAATTTATACAATTTCTGTTGGAAGTGATCAAGCTACATGTATTTCATGTAATTATCCTGGAAATCAAATTGAACCAAAAGCTACAAAAACAGGAAAATATATTATTTTTATGAGAACTACAAATATAATTGAGAAAAATCCAGCTAAATATTTTGTTTTATATGATCTTGAAGATGGATCATATAAAGCTGATGTTACTCTTAATGAATTTACTACAGAAAAATATTTAATTAGTAAACATAATAATGAAGAAACAATTAGTATATTTGTAATAAATAATAGAAGAGAAGCTTTAGCTATAAGAAAAGCTATATATTCATTTGAATTAAAAACATGGAATATTGAAGAAGTTATTGTTGAAGGAGCTGTAGAAATGATGGCAGAAGTTCCATGTCATGATGAAAGTTCATGTTTATTCATTACACAATCATTCCAATATCAACCAAGTGAAATTTATTATTGTGATGAATCAATGAAATTAACTAAATTAACTAAATTAAATGATTATACTTCTTATAACCTTCAAAAACCAATTCTTATTAATCCAATGGGATCATTAAATGATAGAATTCAATCATTACTTTATCTTCCATCAAATAATGAAAAAGCACCAATTCTTTTAGTTGTTCATGATGAAGAAGAAGGAACTGTTATTGATGGTTTTAATAAAATTATGAATCCATATGTTTATACAAATGAAGGATATGCTGTTATAATGATTAACTCACATGTTAGTAAAGGATTTGGAGAACGTATGAGAATTAAAGGATCAAATGATATAAATATTATTATTGAAGATATTAAAGCAGTTATTAATGAATTAGAAAAATATCCAGTAGATACTTCTAAAATTGCAGTTGTTGGAGTTTTTGGTGCATCAAAAATTGTTACTGCATTATTAGATGCTAAATTACCTATTGTATTAGCTGCTGTTCATGCACCAATTCTTTCAATTAGATCACAATATTATACTGATGCTAAATATACATTAGAATATACATTTGAAGGAGCAGATTATGATAACTCTTATTGGTATAATCATAATGATGCTATGAAAAATGTAGCATCATATAGTGTTCCAACACTTATTTCATATGGTGATCTTGATTTTGTTGTTGATAAATCACAACCAATTTCATTATTCCAAGCATTACAACGTAGAGGAATTAAATCTAGACTTCTTAGATTCCCATACTCTACAAATGTATTAACGAAGAATGAAGATATTAAAGTGTTCTATGAACAATACTTAAGATGGTTCAATGAGAATATGAAGAACTAAAGTAATGAACCATTTAATTAAATTTTTTTAAAAAAAAAAAAAACAAAAACATTTTGAAAATTTAAAATTAAAAAAAATAAAAATAAATAATTAAAAAAAAAAAAAAGAAAGAACTTGTTATTATATTTTATTAAATATGTTCTCATTACTTCTTTTTATTGCTTGTATAAATGCACAACCATTTATGAATATGTATGGACAACAACTCCCTTATGCAGAAGAACAAGATAGTTTTAGAGCTGAACAAGTACTTCATGGATTAAATATGAAATATATGCAACTTCGTGATGAACTTTATCGAACAACATTTAGATTACGAGGAACTCAAAGAAGAAGATATTTTTCATCATCTCCAATTGAACTTTATGGATCAGAACATACAGTCCAATTCCTCAAACTTAAAGAATTTAGATTACGTAGAACTATTGCTATTATTCTTAAACAAATGGCTACTGTTCTTACTTCAATTAACAAAAATGATAGAAATATGGTTGTTATGCATTTAGGTCTTCCAATGTCAACTATTAATGCTATGAAACAAGCTATTAAAGCTAAAGTACCAGAAATTCCTCAAGACATTCCATTAGTTGGACCACAAACTCCATTTGGGTTTAGACCATATTATTAAATGTTATTGAACCAATTTTTAAATCATTTTTTTTTTATGAAAGAATATGAAAATAATATTAATTTAATAAATCTAAACAATAAATTTAGAATAATTAAAAAACCAAATTAAATATTTGTAATTGAAGTTCTTTTCATTTTATTTTGTTTAGCAGTATTAATTGCTTTTCTAAGTTGTTCAGATAAAAATTCAGTATCTTTTAATTTATTACAAGTAATTTCAATTGTAGTATTTGATGAAGGTTTAAAGAATTGAATTTTTTCATTAACTATTTCAAGGACTTTCCAATCACATAAAGCATATACTTCTTTTATTTTCCATTTTTCTTTTTCAGAAGATTTTGCAGTATTTCTTGTTAATACAGCAATATCACTAAAAATAACCATTGTCCAAACAGTTGCATTTTTTTTATCACTAACTAAAACTTGTCCCATTTCAGCAAAATAATCACGTTGTTGATTAGGATAATCAGATAAATCAATTCTTTTATTCCATAAATTCATTGCTGTTTTATTTTCAAATCTTCTTTTATTTTCATTAATTTCATTAGCAATACTTCTAATTTTATTTAAACAAGTTTTTATTTTTTTAGCTTCATCTAAATATTCAGGAAGACATTTAATTAATGATTCTAATAATAAAACATAACGAGGAATTCTTTGAATTGGTTGAATTAAGAAACTTGGAACATAATGACCTTTAGAACTTAATTCTTTAACAATACATCCAACATCTACATCTGTTCTTGATAATTCATTAAATTTAGCCATTCCAATATCAACATTATTAGCATATTTACAATATAAATCAAGCATTGATGGAGTAAAATATTTTAATAATATATCAGAAAAAGAAATAAATTCAAGTTTTTCTTCATTACAAAGAGATAAACATTTTTCTAATTCATTAGAAAATTTATGATGATATTTTTCTATATCAATAATATTACCAAATATAATAGATAAATTTTCTTTTAAAACATTATCTAATCTTTTTATTACTATACGACAACAAATATTCATTTGATTTGTATAATTAGTTTCAGTTTGAATAAATTCTTCTGTAATTTGTCTAGCTTTTGTTTTCTTAGAATTATATTCAGCCATTCTTTGAATATCAATAGGAGTATATTCAATTTCTTGTGTTTGTTTTTTCATTTCATTAAATGTTTTAACACAAACAACCCATAATGATTTTCCTTTTGGTTGAAGTTCAATAGGATTAATTTGAAGAACAACTTTATCAATTTTAGTTAATATCATTTCTTTTCTTGCTTGATCATTACTAAATAAATTTGTAATAATACCAAATAACATTGCTTGCATAACTTCTTGAAATTCTTTTACTGATAAAAGTAATTTAGATAATTTTGTTGCTAATTTTAATGAACTACAATTTTTTGCACCAACACGATCTTGAGTAACTCTAAAAATAATAAGTAATGATGGCATTAATGTATTTGTTGTACTTTTTCCATTATATGGATATTCTAATAAATCAAGACATTCTTCAAATAATCCACAATCAATACAATTACTTGCAAAAAATTCACAACCAGATAATTGACTAGTAACATTAATTGCACGTTCTAATATATTTTGATTATCTGTTCTACCAATTATATCAGTTAATATTTTTAAAAATCCTTCTTTAAATAATAATGTTTTACCTTCTTGTTTATATTTTATAATTCTTAATAATATTTCTACTGCTCCTATAAGTTCTTCATTTTGTGAATTTTCAAGTGATTGTTTTACCATAGAAAGTCCATCATTATTAAGATAAATTGTTATACTTTCTGGTGAAATTAATACTTTTGTCATAAATGCTATAATACTTTGACGATTATTTGGAAATACTGATGCATCATTAATTAAAATTGGAATAAATTGATGTGATAAATCAACTCTTTTAGTTGTTTCAATAAATGAATCAAGAATAATTAAACAATTTTTAAAAATTAATTCATTTTCACAATTTAATAAAATTCTTAATGAATCTAATATTTTTTTATCATATTTTAAGAATAAAATAATATATTCAGCTTTTTTAGATAATGCATTAACAATATATAATGTTGTTGTTAATGATGAAGAATCATCTGATTCAAGAAATTGTGTATATAATCTTGGATTAATTTGTATTAAAATTTCACTAAATTTTGGATTATATAACCTATTTAATATAAATGAAAGTCCTGTTTCTCTTTGTTCTGGATCTAAAATATATGAAATAACTTTATCAGCTAATAATTTTGATTTTTCATCAAGTGTATTGTTTGGAATAATATATTTTTCTATTGACATTTCAATTTATATTTTTTTTTAAGTTTAAGAAATATGAGTTATCTTAGAAAAAAAATAAAATAAAAAATTTGTTTTAATTTTCATATAAACTTCTTTTGTTTTTTTTTTTTTTTTTCTCATTTTATTTTTCTATTATTTTTATTTTATGTTATTTAAATTAATTTTTTTTTTTTTAAATTGAAATTATTCACTTAAATACACCACATAAATCTAATGTGGTTAAAATTACTCCTACTATTCCTATTAGTATTCCTAATATCATAACAATTAATGCCATTATTTTTTTCCATCCTTTAGTTAATTTATATGCAAAATATGCTGGAAAAACATATACAATCATAACTCCAAATGTAGCTCCATTATATGCTAATACAATTTCAATATCTTTTACTGCAACAGCAACAAGAATAACAAATGAAACTAAAATTAAACTTTCAGTAATTCTTCTAATACCACTTTCTTTCCATCTATCAAAAATCATTACATCTAATAATGATCTTTGTGCAAAATGAACTAATGGAAATGATGCTGCCATAATAAAACAAAATGCTATACATCCCCATACAATAAATTTATCATTTCGTGGATATGAAATTAAAATATTTCCTTGTACATCTTTTCCCATTGATTTATATCCAAATATTCCAACTAATGCATATGCAATATATGCAATCATTGTTGATACTATTGAAATATATGTTAATTTTTTTACTGTTCTATTTTTTAATTCAACATAAAATCTAAATATATTATAATGACAACAAAATGCTCCTGTCATAATAGGAAATCCTCTAAATGTTGACCAATTTATTATAATTGCTTTTACATCTGGTGAATAATAAGTTGTAAAACTTTCTATAACAATAACAATAGCTGTATAAGTAACACAAATTACTGCTCCTATTGAAAAATATTTTAATGCATCTAATGTTTTAGAAAAACTTAATGGATAAATAAGTATAAATGAAATAATAATAATAAGAAAAGAACGATCACTATAAAATGAATTGGTATTGAGAATATATGGTAAAAATCCTCCAAGAAATATAATATATCCAATACATGTTCCTGTAGTATAAAACATTGCTATTGCTTGAATTATTGTTGATAATAATTTCCCTCCTATAACTTTTGATATTTCTTTATATGTTGCTTTCCCTGTAATTTCACAACTAATAGTAAGAAAATAAATTGTTATAACTGATAAAATATATGCTCCTGTCATTAATATTAATCCTCCTCCCCATCCTGAATATAACATAGCAAATGGCATTGCAAGTGTTCCATTCCCAATAATTGTATTTGCAAGATTAAATATAGTTGCAATAATTCCTGATTCACCTTTTGCAAATGGAGACATATTTGAATGGATCTTAGATTATCTTTTTTCATTTAGATTATTCTATTTTTTTATTCTTCTATTTCTCTCTTTTTATAATACTTTTATATTATTTTCATTTTAAACTAAAACCAAAAACTGTTTTCTTTATTAAACGAATAAAAGATCTTTCTTACTAAAATTATTATTTCATCTTTCTTTTATCTTACATTTCATATTTGTTTTACTATTTTTTTTGTGATCTACTATGATTATGAAAATAAATTATTCTCATTTTATTAGAACCTTTTATCTGAATAAATATATTTTATTCTTACTAATAGACATATTCTAGTTATTATACATTAATAAACAAAAATAAATTATAGAAATCAAAACTTGAAGTTTATGATTGTTTAAATTATATAACATATAGAATTTATTTGAATATAATTTAATTTGACAATAATTCCTTTTTTTTTATTTCATTATTATAAATGAAATTACATTATTAATGAAAAAAGATTAGAAGTAATTATTTAGTTAAATATCTTTTTGTTGAATAGTTATAAAATGAATAGTTTATTGATAATCAATGTTAATACTTTAATTTCTAATATTTGTTTTTGATACTTTTGAAATTGTTTTTAAAGATTATTGAATTCTTCTTTGTTTAAAGGTTTATATAAACAATATTAAATACATAAATAGAACTTACTTTATTTAATCGCTAATAATATTATGTTCTTCACTTTTTCTCATAAATTCAGATGGACTATGAGAGTGATAATAGGTACTTGTAGATCTTTCAGTGAATACACTATTTTGATGACAATTGAAGGATTGAATCTGTTGTTTTGGTTTAGGAACTTGGACATATTGATACATTGAATCAATAACCTTCATATACTTAGGAATACTATTATTATTATTATTATTCTTAGTCTAATGAGAGTAAATAAAGATAACAAACGAAGAATTAAGAATAAAGATTGGAATATCAACATACACATCATCTTCAATAAATTGTGATTTTAGTCGTGATATATCTTTTGAGTATTTTTTCTGATAAGAACCTAATCCTACAACAAGTAGTTTTGCTGGTGATGATGCAAATAATAAATAAAATGAATTCAAAAAAGATAAACATTCTGTTGATAAATGATTTCCTTCTACAGAACAAATGATAATAATAGCACGATAACGATCAATATCAACAGAGCATGTTGTAATTGTTTCAATTCTTTTTCTGAATGATCTAGTCTTTCTTATCAAATGGTTATGAATTATTGAACGAATTTTATTCTTTGAATGGATAGGATTATAAATTGAAATCTACACACTAAGAATTCTTTTAAGAATTTATCAAAAAATTATTTACCAAACTTTATAAATATCAGCATCAAGAATAATAGATAGAGCTTTAGAAAAGTCTTTTGAGCGTTTATTATGTGAAGGATAAACAATAGCAACTTCGTTGAATGATTTTAGAAATGAACTCATTTCTTAGTAGTTCTTCTATCTCATGAGAATATACTTTTTAATTCCTGTCTTTTCTTGTAAAAATAATGTTTATATCCTATATAGAATTCAAAAAACTATAAAGATATTCTTGAAAAAAGTCAACTTATTGTCAAAATGAAAAGTGATTAATCTACCAAAGAAAATGATTAGTGAGAAGTAAAGATAAAAACGAACCTATAACACTGAATAATCATTAAATATCTAAATGCAAGTTCATCGGTATAATGAAAAATTAAAATTTCTTCAATCCTCATTTCCATGTCTTGAATTAAAAGTTATTAAAGAAATATGGAAGAAAAATAATTATAATATGGTACGAACAACAGATGATTTAATGGAATTAGAAAGTCCAGAGAATTCACAATCTGAAACAACTCCAAAGAAAGGGGTATTAGATAAAAAGACAGAAATATGTATAGTAAAAGGATATGCAACAGGAGAAGTAAATGAAGTTATTGTTCATCCAATTGAAAAAGAAATTCCTTTTTCATCTTCAAAGAGAAATGAAACAATAAATAAATTATTTAATGATGATACTAAAAATGAAATATTAGAAAATAATCTTATTGAGAAAAAGAATCAACAAGTAATTAGTCAAGATAATAATAAAATTGATGATTTTGATCAATCTGAAAAAGATAAATTAGAAAAATCTAATGAGAAATTAAATTCTATTGATCATCAACTAGTCAAAATAATTGAAAATGAAGAAAAAATTCCAATAAATTATAAAACAAAAGACAATAATTCTATTGAATTATCTCAAAGTGTTTCTAATGGAATATCAAATATAAATGAAAAAGATAAACAAATAGATTTCCAAACAACAATACAAGAAAATAATAATAAAATAATTAATGAATCTATAAGAAAAAGTCTTGATGAAGAAAGAGATATAGAGAAGAGAATTATTTTAAATTGTAAAACAATAAATAATGAAGTTGATGTAAGTTATTATATTCCACCTAATTATCTTCAAGAAAATAGTTGGATTGGAATTTTTGATAGATTTGAAATGAATATGAAAAATTATATTAATAGTGCTTATTGTAATGGTAAACAAAGTGCATTTATTAGATTTGAAGGATTAAAAAGAGGGAAATATTGTGTTAGAGTTTTTCTTGATAATACTAAAACAGAAGTATATAATGCAGCAGAAACATGTTATGTTACAGTTGGAAAAGAAATTAGTGTTAGTGTAGCTGTTGGAAAAGAAAAGAATAAAAGAATGATTAGAGTTAGTGTTCAAGGAATGGATAAACCATATTGGGTTGGTGTTTATAAGAGTGTATTATCATCAGTATCCAATAATGATTATTTATTATCAAGTGATATAACAAAAGAGAATGAAATAATGATAGATATTTCAAGTTTAAAAATAGGTAAATATGAATGTAGGATATTTTGTAAAGAATCAACAGAAGGATTTTTATTTAAAACATACCATGCATGTGGAGATAATACATTTCTTGTTCTTTGGTAAAAAATCAATTATCTAAAGAAAAAAAAAAAAGTATAGCTTAAAAAATAAAGAAAAAAATAATTTAATATATTATTTTAAAGATAATAAATTTAAATAATTAAAAAAGAAAAAGAGGATTCTGAATTATTCTAAAAAAGAACTTAAAAAAAAAAAAAAAAAAAAGAAGGATTAAAATTAATTGATAATATGGACAAAGATATTGGAATAACACCATTACTTAATCCAGATGAAGGATATTCATCTAAAAAAAAACATAATACAATAGAAACATATTGTACTCTTTGGATGATATTATCAATGATAACATTTGTTTTATTTGGAATTGTATTAACATGTTGTATGTTTTTATCTACAAGACTTGAAGGGTTTACAACAAAAATTATTGATAATTATGAAGAAATATTACCATCACAATATCTTATTGATCAAAATGCATCAGTTATTCCAAAGAATCAACAATCAAGAGGTAGTTGTTGGATATTTTCAACAATAGGATATTTAGAAAGTTCATATAGAGCTTATGGAGTTCAACATAATCTTCTTAATTCAACAGAATATGTTCAATTTTCTGAACAAGCATATGGTAAATTAATTTTTGAATATTGTCAAAAACATAAAGAAATACCAATTTGTAATTATGGAGGAATGGGAATTAATCAAACAAGTGATGGAAGTGTTGAATTTATTTATTATTTAGGAGATTATGCTAAAAATATTATATTACCTAGTTCAGTATGTAATTATTATCCAGAAAGAGGAGAAGGAGAATTTCATTGTAATGATAAAGAATTACCAAAAATTATGGCTACAAATCCAATAAATTTTAGAATTAAAAATATTAAAACTATGTATTCAATAAATGAAATTAAACAAACAATGTATGAATATAAATCACCAATATCATATGGATTAGCTACTGTTCAAAAAGCATATTATTTTGAATGTAATGAACAAAATCCACAATATAAAGAAAAAGTATGTACAGAATGTGAATTTCCATGTTATGCAGCTGCATCAGGAGAATACATTAGAGATGATTCTAATGCAAAAACATGTTGTAGTAGAGTTGGAATGGCAGCATATAGTAATGATGGAATATTTGATTTACATGGAGAAGTTATGGGAAGTGGAGGACATGCTATGATTATTGTAGGATGGAATGATGAATTTAGAGTTGATAGAGAAAATACACAATATATAGAAATTGAAAAAAATAATAATAATAGAAATGAATTTGGAAATAAAGAATATAATAGTGTTAAAGGAGGATTTATTATTAAAAATTCATGGGGAAATGCAGGACATTCAATGGCATATTGGATGCAAAATATTTCAGAAGCTAATGAAGCAATTATTTGTCCATTAACTCAATCAATTAAAAATTGGGGACCTGTTGATATAAAATGTTTAAAAGAAAAAAAATTATATAAAGAATGTGGATTTGGAAGAATTAGACATGTTGGTATTGAAAAAAAAACACTTATTGGAGGAACTAAATTACAATGTAGAATAACAAATAATGAAACAAATGATATTTTAAAAATGTCATTATTAGGATTTGAACCATGTTCACATAGAGATGCAAATGAATATATTTATTCATTTATAGGAATTCAAAATAATAATGAAGAAGATGAAACAATATCATTAAATTTAAAAAATGATATTCCAAAATTATCAGATACACAAAGAATATTTTATATTGCTAAAATAAAATTAAATGAAGATAATAATACAATTAATAGTGTAGAAGAAATAAAAACTAATATTACAACTCTTAATATGTTAGAAAAAGTATTTAAACCAATGATGGATGAAGATATTCAAAATAGTATTCATTGTGGATATTATTTCCAACCATATAGTACAATTAGATTTTTAGTAAGTGATTATAAAGCATGGGGATATGAATCATATGCATTTTCATATATGGATATTGAATGGGATAAAAAATCTTATTTAAAAGGAAATGAAGATAATATAGATTATCAATGGATTAAAAATTCTACTGTTAATTATGAATATCCTCAATTTGATGGACCATTTGGTAATTTATTAAATTCAAATTAATTCAATTCTTCTTTTGTTAGTGAATTAATTAATTTTTTTTTTTTTTTTTAGTTTTATTTTATTTTAAAAAAAAATATTAAATTATTCTTTAAACAAGATTTAAATAAATTTCTCAATGAATAATTTAATTATTTAATACGTAAATAATATCATCAAGAATATTTATTAATGCAAAAATTCTTTGCATTAATTTAGGATCATCAATATGTTGAAGTAATGAATTACGATTTTCATGTGCTTCTTTTAATTGTTCTAAACATGATTTTTTTAATTTAGCAACTGCTTTATCTTTATCTTTCTTATCTTTATCTTTTTTTTCTTTATCTTTATCTTTTTGTGCAATTTTAGGACATTCATCTTTTAATTTAGTTTTAGTAGCTTTAACATAAATAGTAATAAATTTATCACTTTTAGATAAAATAGAAACACTTTCTGTTTTATTAACAAATTCAAAAATTTGATTCTCTTTAGAAGTAATTGTTATAAATCTATTTCTTAATTCTTCATTAATTTCATTTGGTAAATTAAATTCTTGAATACTTTGTATTATTGTTTGTCCTTGTTCTTCACATAATGGTGTTTTAGATCTCTTTGGTGAACAAAGTTGTTGTTGTGAAGAACATGGTGATTTATCTCCACATATAGTAAATGATCTTGGTGATGCTGGTGAATCAAATTTTTCTATAATTTGATTTAATTTAAAAATTTCTTCTGTTAATATATTAATTCTTTTTTGATAAAAATTAATAGTATCTTCATATCCAGTAATAACAGAATTATAACATGCTTCTTCAGTTTCATCAAAGAAAATACCAACATCTTTTGGTTTTTTTAAATCTAATTTTGCAAGTTCTTTTTGATAAATATTAATACTTGTTAATGCTAATAAATTTTCTGCTAAATTTTTAAATCCAATATCAATAAATGGTTGTATAATAGTAGCCATAGCAGCTGGTTTCATTGTTTCTAATGTAGTTAAAATTGGTGGTACTTTTCTTAAAAGTAATTGAGATGATACAACTTTATTAAAATGATATTCAGGTAATGTAGAATTACTACTAAGAATATTAATCATTTCATTAATTTTTGGATATGAATTAACAATAGTATTATTAAATATATTTAAATCAATTGTTTTAGGAAATGGTTCATCGCATTGATTAACAAATGTTTGATATATTTTTGAAAGTAACATTAAAATAGATTTACCTTTATCATTAGGAATTGATATAGCACTACAAAATTTAGATGGTGTAACAATTGCAGGTGTAATAATTTTATGAAAAAATAATGCTGATAAAATTTGTTGTGAAACTCCTTCTTCTTTAAAATTTTCTTCTACAACTTCTTTAATAATTCCAAATATTGATTTTAAATTTTCTGGAAATTCTGATGCCATTTGTAAAAATCGAGTTGTATGAATATCAATATATTTATTTATTGTTTCAATAGATTTATTTTTAATTGTTTCATCTGTTGAATCAATATGAATTTCATTTGAATTACATGAATGAATAATTGGATTAATATATTTTTCCATTAATGGTGTTAATTCTTTTCTTAAAACAGCAGATAACAATGATGTTGGTCCACTATTAACTCTAAATAATGTATGAACTTCTTCTATAATAATGAACTTTTTTTTTTCTCTTTTTTCTTATTTCTAATTAACAAACTTGTATTCATAACTTCTTCTTGTAATTCATCAGCTAAAACACTATACAATATACCTGATGCATCTAATATATCTCTTAATGCATCCCAAAATTCATTTGTAGTAGTAGAACAATATCTAATTAATGTATGAACAACGATATGATCATAAACACAACATAATTTCCAAAATATTGATGTTTTAAAATATGGATTACTATTTGAATGGCTATTCATTTCAATTTAAAAATAAAATCTATTTTCTTTTTTTTTTTTTTTAAGATCTCTTTTTTTTTCTTTTATATTTATAGAAAAATTAATAAAACAAAAAGATCTTAAAAAAATATCACAAATATATTAAAAAAAAAAAAAAAAAATAAATTAAAATGACAAAAGTTGTTATTATTGATAATCTCAAAACAGTTCAAGAATCATCCTTGAATACAATCTTAACTTATTGTGGAGTTATTCTTAGTATTCAAAAATTTGTTTGTACTTATCTATTTAATATTATTTATTGATATTAATATTATAGGAAACACAACAATTTAATTATTTTATTGTTGAAATGAGAAGTGAAGAAGAAACTTCAAATATTATGTATTTAACAAATACTTTAGTTGATGGATCTCAAATTAAAGTTGAACAATATGATTCCTTCAGAGAAGCTAATTCTTTTTTATTTAAACCAATAAATTCTAATGAACAAAAAATAATAAAACCCAATCAACCAATTTCTGAAGATAAATCTCAACCTCAATTATCCAAAAAAGAACAAATGAGTATTAAAGCAAAAGAATTAGGTATTACAGTTGAAGAACTTGCTAATAAATTTCAATCACTTATGGTTGACGTTGTTTGTGAAGGAACTAATTCAATTAATAAATTATTAGGAAAAGAACAATACCCAAATTATCAAATTCCAGAAAATTATGTTCTTCCAGCACATTCTACTGAATTTAAACCAAAAACGTTTATAATTCAACAAAATTCAAATTCTTCAATAAGTAATAATCAAAAACCTCTTCCACCACTTCCAGTAAAGAAACAAGAAATAAAACCAGAAAATAATAATGTTAATCAAACAACAGAGATATTATAAAATTATATTGACTCTTTTAATAAATTTATTTTATTATTATTTATTAATAACTTTTTTTTTTATTTTAGTTTGAACTAATTAATGGTCCATTAGTCCCTAAAAGAAAGAAGATGAAAGATAAAAAAATTCAATTTGATTACAAAAACTAAATTTAATTGATATTTATATCAATAAATTATTAGAGATAAAGTCATAGAAGTTATTTATATTGTTTGGTGTTAGAGATTATATAAAAAATTCTTGAAGATTATTTAAAGAAAAACTAAATATTTATTAATAATAAAATGGAAAGGAAAAGAGAATTAGGTAATGTAAAAGTTGAATATTATGATACTAGAATTGGAATTTCATGGAAAAGTATATTTTCATGGTGTTCTGAACAAGAAAAATTAATTATATTTAATTCTTCTTATAATATTAGAAAAAAGAAGTGTATTTGTAAGAATAAGTTTAAAGAAGGTATTTATTGAAGAATGATTGAATTAAATTATTTATTTGTTTCTCGTAATAATTCCATAGGTTGTTTTTTAAGTACAGGGATTAATGGTAATAATGTAGAGATTAAAGCAAATAAGATTGCACTAATAATTACAATAACTAATAATAAAGTAGGGAATGTATATTCAATTGGAGTTTGAGTGAATAAAATAATTTGTAATGTCATAGTAAATCCAATAAGAGAACCAATTATCATACCCATTAGTGAAGCAGAAAAAATAACAACAAATGACTCTGCAAGATAAATTCTTAATAATAAAAATTTTCCTATTCCAATTGCACGTAATACAGCAATTTCATGTTTTTGTTCTTCAATATTACCATACATTGATGAAAGAATAGAAAAGAAAGTTGTTATAAGAGTAATAATTGTAACAAATACAAAATAAAATATCATAATATTTTGAATTGTTATAATTCCACTTAATTCAGATGCAACAATAATTGAATCAAATTTAGAAGTAATTAATTGTTGTTTTACTTTATTAGCAGTATTTTCAGTAGAATCAATTAATTTTAAATAAATTCTAGTAATTGGTATTTCATCTATACTTGTAAAATATCCATTTGTATATCTAATATATTCAGGAACAGAAATTAAAAGATCTTGCCAAGTTAATAATGGAGAATCACTAACAGTATATTTAGGAGTACTTGATGCTTCTACTCCATAAGTAAATAATCCCATAACTCCAAGAACATTTGTTCTTTCTAAATTTGTATTAGCACAAATTAATAAACGTTTACCATCTGTATATGAAATATCTTTTATAGTAGTTCCCATAATAACTTTATAAAGTCCATTTGATGTATACATAATTTTACCAATAGAACTATCACTCATATCTCCTATTGATTCAACATTCATTCGATATTTTACTTTTAAAAATTTTTGATTCATTACTTCAAATGTATTAGGTAATATTGCAACATAATTTTCTCTCAAAATAACTCCTTGTCCTAATGTTGACATACCAAAATACTTTGGATGAATTTGATCAATTCCATCAAAATCAAGAGTAACTCCAAGAACCTCTTCTAAACTTTCTGCTTTTTTCATAACATTTCTCATTGCTTCATTAAGTTCTTGTGTTGTATTGAATTTAGATTTAAGACCAACAATATACATTTCTGTTCCTTTAGATTTAATAATTGTTTGTGAAAGTATTCCTATTTCAGATGTAAAAGAAGAATAAAAAAATAGAATAAATCCAAGAGAAAGAGCAAATAAGAGAGATGTTTTTTTATTTCTTGTTTTATGTAAAAGTAAATTTTTAATTGTTAATGATAATCCAACTTTATCCCAAAAGTAAAGTAAATATAATAAAAGTCTTTCTATTATTGGTATAATATTTATTATTAATAATATTGAACCAACTAATAAACAAATAATTAATATAGAAAATATTGTAAACATAGTTGATAAATTTAAAGCAAGTAATGATTTTGGTAAAAGAATATATGTTGAAAATCCAAAACATGTTATAAATAATCCTATAAATATAGTTAATGGTGAAAAATAAGAAGAATTATTTCTTTTAATTGTAATTTCCAATATTGTAGATGGTTTTGTTGTAAGTGAACGATGAAGAATAGAATATAATGGAAATATAATAGAAATAATAGGAACAAAGAATGTTAAAAAGATTGCAAATAATATTCCTTTTATTGATGGTAAAAATATAATAGGTACAGAAAAAATTGATTTTGTAATAAAAGATATAAGAAAAAAGATAATTATTGATATTATTGATCCAGTAATAAGAGATGGGATTGAATAGAATAATGAATTAATAAATAATTGAAATGTTAAATTAAAACGTGTTACTCCTATTGTTCTTTGAATTTTGATTGAATGTTGTTGAGATTCTATATTAATTGTTAATAATGATTGAACTAAAAGTATAGATAATATTAATAATACTATAATTGCAAGTTTAACAATCATCCCTAAAATTATATTAACATATTTATATTGACTTAATTCTGATAATACAGGTGTTGAAGATTGTAAATTTTGATATCCTAATTTAAATAATATATTAGAAAGATATGTTGTTACTTTATTTTGTAAATTATTATAATCATTATTTAAATAATATTTTTCTCTTGGAATTGGAACATTAATAATAATTTGATCACAATATTCATTCATATTTAATTTTTTAAGATAATTATTAAGATTAATAAGATGTCTAGGAATATTATTTTGAATTGTTTGAATAAAGAAATCAAATTCTAATATTCCATTTTCTTTACCTCCAAATTTACCTTCATCAGAATCATAAATCCCTTTAATTTTTAATTTAAGTATAAAATGTCTTGGAATTTCAGAATTATTAAGATATTGGTTTGATATAATATTTTGGTATTCAATCAATAGAGGATAAATTGTTTCATTACTAATAGAAATAAACATTTCATCTCCTTCTTTTAATTGTAATTGTTGAGATATTCTTCTTGGGAGATAAATTTCATTTTCTTTTAATGGTTTAAATTCCCATTTTTCTCCTAAACCAATCTTTTTCTCTTGTTTTGTATTTAGGGCTATAAGATTACTAGATACCCATTGAGATGATGAACAATACTTTGTAAAACATTCATCTAATTCACAAGTCTCATAAATATCAGAACTATTACCATAATATATCCAATCATTATCATTTTCTTTAAAATCAAAAGAACAATTTCTACTAAAGAATTTTGCTGAACCAATCCATCTTGGAGTAGCAGTATGAACAGTTTTATTGATCTCAGTAAAATTAAGAACAATACCTCCACTATCTGAAGATGGTGTAATTATCATATCAATTTGACCATTATTCTGTTCAGAAAGTCGTAAATAAACTATTGGTGTTGTTGATAATATAGAAAGTAGAGTACAAGTGATAACAAACACAATAGAAACACTACAACAACCAATACAATAATTACAATAATTTGTTCTGACAAGTCTAATTGATTGAATAATATTAATCTTACAAAGGGTTAAGAAATGAGAGATTTTATGTGACATAAAATAAAATAAATTAATTAGATATAGTTTTATCATCAACAAATAAGTTATGTATTTTGGTTAGTAGTTCTTAGCTTTTACAATTATCATATTTGAATGTTTTCTATATTGTTATTTTATAAAATAACATTTTTTATTTATATTTAAAAAGCTAAAAAGAAAAATAAATAAAATAAAGTATTGTGTAATGACTAAAGTACAAGTCAATCTTAAGTTTGCTACTCGTCTAATTAATGAACATTGTATTGTCATTCCAACTGTTTATGATAAATACAATCATCGAATTACAGGGATGTCTGCACAATGGGCAATGCCAACTGACAAAAAACACATTGCAATATTATTTGGTGCATTTTCAAATACTGGAAAATTAATAGAAGAGTCCACATATTATTGCATTAATGTACCAAGAACTTGCTCAAAAAAAGACATTATGTACTTTGGAATGAATCATGGAGATATTATTGATAAATTTTCACGTACTTCATTCCATCTAGAAAGTTTAGGAAATGAACAATATCATAATCTTTCTATTTGTGAGTCTATTGCTGTTCTACACATGAAAGTATCTAAGGTTGTGATGGTTGCAGATGAGTGTGAGTTACAATCACGATTGATCTTTGGAGAAATTGTAGATGCATATGTTGATCCATGTACATTTGATGGTGAGTTTTATCAATTGAATAACGTTAATGAAGAAGATAGACCATTACATTGTATTAATGAAACAGAATATTGCACAATAAAACCAATTTATTAATTAGATTAAATATTCATTGGTAAATTATTCAATTAATACAAAAAGAGATGATAAGAGTTTAATTGACTTTGTTATCTTAATAGTATATTCTTTTGTATAGAAAATAGATGATTAAAACATCAACTCATCAATACTCTTTCTTTGTTAATGAAATAGTCATTTTACTTTATTAATACATTAAATATTCATTATTTTTATTTGATAAGAACATTCACAATTGTTTTATTTTTTAATGAAACTATTCTAGAGAGTATGTAGATTGTTTCATCAACAAAATACTTTTATAATACTAATTAGATATGGACTAATTTATAAAATATACACAATTACTAAATAAATAGTTAATGTGAATATAGTAAAGTATTTACAACAATGATTTATTTCATTAATTATTAAGAATGTTCAATCTATAACAATTACATTCAATTCCTTAAAATACCCCCAAAAAACATTTCAATTTAACACAACAACTCATTATCTCTTATTCATTTCACAAAAATAAAGAATTGATCAAGTATTAAACAATAAAGAAGTTTTAATAAAATAAATCAGAGTTTTTATTCATTTAGGATTCATAATAATAATAATTGATAATAAAATAATGATATTAACAATATAAAAATTATGAAAAATTAATGAAATATATATTTAAATGATACTGAACATAAACATTTAATAAAATCAAAAACAATCACTGAAATAAAGAATCTGCTGCACGTTCACAATCTTTATGATTTTGTAAATAGGCTGAAATACAAACGTCTCTATTTGGAACTAAAGCAATTAAACGTTGAATATTCTCTTCATCTTGTTGAGTCCAAGCATCACTACTTTCTTCTAACATAAAAGGGTCTTGTTCTTGAGTAAGTTTCTCTGCAGCAAGTTCAAGATTTCCATCAGATAAAATTAATGCACGAATAGCTTTTTCTCTTAAAAATCCCAGTTCTACAAGTTTAGAGATATTCTCTTCATTAAGATGTTCAATATCATTTTCCTCAATTCCTTCTAGATTATTCATTGGATTTAATTGTTTCATTGTAAGAGGTTGAATATGAAGTAAATTACATATTTCTGATTCAGTTAGTTTCATATCCCAATTATTCTTTTCTAAAATTATTAATGCTTGTTTTTCTTTAATCCCAGGAAATGAATGAACTATATGTTTAAGAAATTTTGAAAATGTTTTAATTACTATGAATTTATTAGAGTTATTGTATAAATGTAAATGATCATTTAATATTATTAATTGATGATTTTCAGTACTAATAATAAATGTTCTACAAAATTGTAAAGTATTCTGTCTAATTTCACATTGTCCCATAATATTAATTATCTATTAAATAAATATAAATTAATTTCTATATAAAATAAACAAACATAAAAGAGTCCCTGTTCTATGATATCAAAACACATGTCAGATATTCGATGATTAGTCTTTCCAAGAGTTTTTAATCTATTAATAATTTGATTTGTTCCATTTTGAATAAATCTTTTTGTATCAATTGCATTCATATTAATAATATTTCTTGAGTTAATTCCAACTAATTGAACTCCTTTTCCAAGAGTAATATCAAAATAAGAATAAATTGAATATAATTGTGCCAATGATTCTATATTATTATCTTGAAATTTGAAATAATTATCAAAGAAATTATAAATATTTTCAAATTTATTAAGATTTAAAGGATGAATAGTATTATATTGAAGAGTATTCATATTGTTTTTAATTGTACAATTAAAATTATGTCTTTCAAATAATTTATTATTGAATATTTCTAAGAGAGGAAATGTGTGAATAAGAAAAAGAGAATCAACTTCTGGTAATGGATTACCTAAGAGACAAAGATTTCTTAATGGAATACCTTTAAGACAACCAAAACATACATAATTTGTAATTTTATTATTTGATAAATCTAATACTGTAAGTTCTTTAAATCCATGAACTATTTCATCAAAGAATGTTGTAATATTAATATTATTATTACTTAAATTTAATGATAAAAGATCAGGAATATCTTGATAATAATAATTTAATGCATCTTTTAAAAGAATATCAAATGATTGAGTTGGTCTATATTCAAATTCTTTTAATTTATTAATAAAAAATGAGAGATCTAAAGAACGTGTTTTGATATTACAATATCTATATTTTATTTGTTCTAATATAAACTTATATTGTTGTTCTCTTGGTGGTTCTCGTTCAAATGTAATAACCATTTTACTTCCATTCCATAAAAAATCATTAAAACTCATTAACATTCTTCCTTGTTCTGTATTTTGAACAGTTACTTTAAATTTATACTTTCTTATTTGTTCAATATGAATAATACCAATATCTGGATTAAATTGATTAATGACTTGTTTTAATTCATTTGAAGTTCCATTAAATACTTGTACAAACAATGAAAATCCAACTTTATTCATTTATATTATTTATCAATTTTTAGTTCTTAAACCAAAAAACTCAAAAATTTAATTAAATTGAGTTTTAATAATAAAATATGAGAAAAGTTAAATAATTAACTTCAAATACTAAAATTATATTATTGAGTTGTTTAAAATGTAAATGCAGCATCTTCAGGAGATATAGAAACTGGTGGAATAATTTGTGCTGGATATTGTTCAATACTACCTTTACATAATAGAGATGATAATAATTTATTATTTAATTGAATAACTATAAAAATCAATTCTTTAATTATTACAACTTAATTAATTAAATGAATTTAAAAACAAACTTGTAGGAAATGTTTGTGAAATTTTATAAAGTTGTTCAGTATATTCAGATTTACTAATTTGACATAATAAATAATTACGTAATAATTGAAAATATTCTTGACTTCTCTCTCCCATTGTTCCTTGAATTTCTTGAATAGCAATTTCCCAATTTACTATCATAAAAAATAAAAAATAAAATAAACAATTCCAGTTGATTTCTTTAAACAAAAAACTTGTAACAATTATATCATATTTATTATCTTAATCTCTTTTTTTTTTTTTTAAATTATATTTTAGGTTTTATTATTTTTGAAATAAAAAGATAAGAAATGAAAAAAAAATTTATCAAAGAAAAAACGAGTAAAAACCACAATAGAACCATTTTCTTAGAAGAGTCCAATCTTGGTAGCGACTTCCATAGCTTCTACATCTGGTGCAAGTCTAACGAAAGCTTTCTTAAGACCATCAAGTCTAACAAGAGTATTTACTTTAATAACTTTAACTCCATATCTCTTTTCAACAGCTTTCTTAATCATAGTTTTATTAGCTTTTTGTTCACAAAGGAAAACGAGTGTGTTGTGATCTTCGATTTTCTTAAGAGCAGTTTCTGTAGCGAGTGGGAATTTGATAATGGAAAATTCGTCCATTTTATTTCTATTAGCTTTAAGTGATCTTGGATATTTTGGTGCTTTTGCAGCATTCTTTGTAGCTGGTCTATGGAAAGCAGTTGTATATCTCTTGGTTCCGGCCATTAATTCACCACTTAACCTATACAGTTCCAGTTCTATTATTTCTCAGGGTTTGATTTTATTTCTTATTATTTTTTTCTTATTATCAAATAGTTCTTTTTTTTTATTTCATCTCTTTCTAAATAAACAAATTTCTGTTATTCTTTTCCAATTCTAAGTATTTACTTCTATTCTTCTTTATTTTCTCATTACTTTCAAACAAATAATATTTACTATCACTAGTCTCTTATTACTTTTAACATTTCTTCTTCTTTTCTCAACTTTCTCATTTTTCCTTTAAATTTAAAAATATTTAGGAAAAACACAATTAAAAAACAAAAAGAAGTAAAAATCAAGAACTTAAAAAGTTATAATATCAAAAAAATAAAAATGCAAATGTTATTTGTTGTTTTATTATTGACTATTGTTCAATCTCAACCAGTCAATGGACAACCAGAACAACCAGTTCCTCATCCACCTGTTATTCCATTAACACCTGAACTTCAATTAAATGCACCAATTTCAAATGGACCAAATCCAAATCCTATTCAAAAAACTAATGTTAATACTCATATAGAACTCCTTCCAACAGCTGGACAATTACTTATTAGTACTGCTACATTGGCTTGTAGACAACTTGATTCTCAATACAAAAGTACTCTTGATGGAGAAAAACAACTTTATGCTAGAATATTAGATTATGCCAAGAAGGAAAAACAAGCTGCTCCTAATGAATTGGTTAATATAAGAAAGAGAGTTGATGACTTAAATTTATCTATGTTAAAATTAAAGAAACAACGAGTAAAATTATCAGAAGAAATGGGAGATATTTTAAGAACACTTCCATTAGTTGATCAACAACATATTATTGATGAATTAGGATTACAAAAGAAAATTGATTTATATAAGAATGTAATGGTTATTTTAGATAAAGAAAAGAAACAGAAAGCAAAAGAAGATAAAATTATGTTTGAACTTGATGTTCGTGATGCTATTGAAAAGGCTAATGAAAAAACTCAAGTTGAAATTGAAGTTGCCAATGAACAAAAGAAAACATTTTATGTTAAAATTACTGAAGCACAAACAATTGCTGATAAAGTTCGTGAATATATAAAAATATGGAATAAACAATTAAAACAACTTAATGGAAAGAGTTTATGTAAATTCCAAATTATGGAAAGTCTTAATCAAACTGCTATTAATGCACATAATGAAATTATTAATATGAGAACTGCTTTAAAAGAAGCTAAACAACAACGAAAACTTGTTTGGAAAACATTAAAGAATGGAATGAAAAAGACTATTATAGAATTAAAAGATTTAAAGAAATCAACACAAAATATTAAGAAACAAAATATTATTAAATTAGAAATTAATAAAGTTGAAAAAGAAATTAAACAAATTAAAAAAGTAAGTGAATTAAAACCACTTGAAAAACAAATGGAAAATATTGAAAGTCAATTATCTAAAGAATTTAATCAACTTAATATTCGTGGTATTAATTTAATTAAGAATTCTAATTCTAAATGTAAAGATAGTCTTATTGGACATTTAGATAATGAGAAAGCAATGAAATTATTCAAACGATTAGATCATTTAGAAACAAAATTTAAGAGAGTTTAATTTTTATTATTAATTACTTTCTTATGAATTACTATCATTAATGTTATTATCTTTTCTTTTTTATTATCTTAGGTCTTATTAATTTCTCTTATATAATAACAATTTATAATTCTTTAAATACTCTAAATAAAATCTAAATTACTTTAAATAAAAGTATTTATTGGTTCATCTTCTTCCTCTAATAATTCTTCATCTTCTTCCTCTTCATCATTATCTTCTTCTTTACTTAATCCATTATCTGTTGCAGGTACAACAACAAGTTCACTATCTTCACTCTCTTCTTTTGTTAGTACACCTTCCATAATACTTGTACTTCCTAAAACAATTTCATCTTTCTTTTCTTCTTCTTTAACAGGAATCATTATTTCATTTTTTGTTTCTTTTACTTCAACTATTTGAGGTGCTTCATTTGAAACCATTTCAGCTACAACTTCACTCTCAACTTTAATTTCTTTTTCAATAACAACAATATTTCCTTCTTCTTGATTATTTTGTTTTTGTTTTTCTTCTTGAATTATTTCATTTTGTTCTTTTATATTATTAACTTCATTTTGTTCTTTTATGTTAGTAACTTCTTGTATAACTTCTTCTTTTGAATCATGAATTTCCTTCTTTGATTCTTTCTTTTTGCCAAATGAATATATTGGTGTTGTTAATACAGGATTAGTCCAGTTTGCACTTAATCCAGTGGGTGGGTTTTGTATTGATTCGTTTACCATTGTAGTTAGTGATGACATTCCACTAACAATGGATGATTTAATCGATCCAAATCCCCATTTCTTTTGTGATTCTTTAGGTACTTCAACTTGTAAAGGAGTTAATTCTTCTGTTTTTAATATAATTTTTGATTTTTCATTATGACCAATAATACTTTCAAAGAATTCTTTTACATCAGTCTTATTATCTAATGTTTTTAATCCATCTGACGTTATTGAATTAAATTCTGTTTCATTGATTCCAATATTCAAATAGATTTGATGAGCACGTTTGAAGATATTTATGATTTCATCATTATGATATGTCATTAATTCATAACATTGTCTTACTGTTTCAACCATTTCTTGACCATATAATAAATCATAACATTCAGATGCTTTAGTAACTGAATTTTCATAGTCTTTTTTTATAATGGAATATTGTTGATTCATTTTATTGTATTTGGGGACTAGTTTTGAATCATTTGTTTCATTGATTTTCTTAATAAGATCTTTCATATCTTTGAGTACATTTAGGTAATGACCTTCACACCTTAAAGCAAAAGAAACAACATCTTCATATATTTTAACTTTTCTAAATGTTTCATTGACAATTTTCTTTTTTTGAGTATCAATTTCTTTAGCAAGAGAAAACAATGGAGTAGCTACTTCTTCAATAAATTTTTTTCCTATATTATATTTTTCTTCAGCTCTTTTAGTGTTAGAAGTATCTAAGAGTTCAATATAATTTTTCATTCCACTACAAAGAAATAAGTGAATTTTCTTTATAAATTTTCTGTAAAATAACAAACGTTTGAAGAAATTTCTTTGGATCTTCTTTACCAAATGATGGAGTATTAAGATATGTAGTTAGTCCTAATAATTTCTTTCCATATTCTATTTCTAAAGTTCCTCTTCCTTGATAATATTCACCATATTCTTTTGTCATATCAATTAAAGCATCTAATTGATGAACAATAGAATTCATATCAAAAACACAACTTTTATATAACTCTGTATTTATGGTAATCATAAATTGAATTAAACAATAATTTTTGAAGTTCTTTTTTTGAATGAACAATTTAATTAATCTTCTTTATGAATATTTAAAATAAAAACTTAAAATTACAGTTTTGATATAATGGAAAAGAAACAACAAGAAAAAGAAATTAATTCTTCTTTTCATCAATGGATTAATTGGGATAGAATGAATGAATTTAAACAACAAAATAGATCACGTAGAGGATTACAAAGAAAAGTAATTTTTATTATTGATATGTCATTAAGTATGATTCAAGAAGATTATCAACCAAATAGAATTACATTTATCCAAACAAGTTTTGTTTAATTTGTTTTTTTTTTTTTATTTTATTATATAATAAAAGAGAAATTAATAATTTAAGAATTAAAAGAATTCTTTGAAGAATTTTATATTGATAATCCATTAAGTGAAATTGGATTAATTTGTACAAGAAATAAAACTGCCGAACAACAATTTCCATTGTCTAGAAATTTAATAATTCAAAAAGAAATGAAATGGGGAAATTGTGAAGGACAAATGTCATTACAAATATCTCTTGACCTAGCACAACAAATATTATCAAATACTTCTAATTCATCATCAAGAGAAATTATAATAGTAACATCATCTATAACAACATGTGATCCTGGTAATATTTATGATACTATTGAAACATTAAAAAAAACTACAATTCGTTGTTCAGTAATTTCATTTGCACCAGAAATGCATATAACAAAATTATTAACTAAAATTACTGGTGGAGATTATCATACAATAATGAATGAAAAACATGCTGAAAATGTTTTAAATACATTTATTATTCCACCAATATACAAAGAAAATACTTATGAACCTAAAACTATACAACTGTATATTGGATTTCCAAAACAATTAAATATACCAACAATATGTGAATGTCATTCTAAAATTGATATAAATCATTTCGAATGTCCTATTTGTAATTTTTGTTATTGTGAATTACCTATTCAATGTAAAATATGTAATGCTATTTTACTTCTTTCACATCATTTTGCACGTTCATATCATTTTATGTTTCCAATTGAACCATTTAAAATTATTACAATGATAAAACCACAAGAAAAATGTTTTGGATGTGGTAAAGAAATTGATGATAGAATAGAAAAAAAAGAAGAAGAACCAGTTAATATTTATCAATGTAAAAAATGTTTAAAATATTATTGTAATGAATGTGATAGTTTTATACATGATGTGTTATATAATTGTCCTGGTTGTGAAAGTAAAAAATTTCTTTAATTAAATTTTCTTTTCTTTTTTTAAAAAAAAAAAAAAAAAAAACATTCAATTAAAATGCTTTTTCTACTCTTTTTATTTAGAAATCAAACATAACATCTGATTTCAAAACAATTTCTTGTGATAAATTAATTGCTTTTGTAACAGTATTTAATGCACTTTCATAAGCATGATATCTTTCATCTCCATCAACAAAATTTAAAGTATGAGTAATTGCATCAATTTTAGCTTTAATAATATCAGAATAAATATATTCTTCTAATGCAGATTCAATATTTATTAAAGAATCTCCAAACATTTTTGCCATAACATTCATATCTACAACAGAATAAGCAAAAATATATTCAATATAACATTTTTTTTTAATACAATTTATTAAACTTTCCATTCTTTGACCAAAATATAAATTAAATTGAAAATATTTTTCAAGTTGTTGAACATCATTACAAATTTTTGAAAATTTATTTTGTTTATAATCATCTAATAATATTACTAATTCTGGAACAGTATCTGCATGATTTCTAAATTTTGAATTATTAATTAAATGAATAACATTTGTTTGATGTTTTTGTGTTAATAATCCAATTAATGTACCATAAATAGCAATATCTTGAAAACTTAAAAATTCTCCAAATTCCCAATTATCTTTTTCATCAAATGTAGTAACTTTATCTAATAATTCAAATGCAGTTATAAATGTTTCAGTATTTCTAATTGCTAATAAAAATGAAATTACATTAATAAATTTAGTATATAATCTACCTGTAAATGCATCTAATGATTGTAATTTATTAAGAAAATTACTTGCTTGATGAAAATTTTCATTAAATATATTTAGTCTAACTAATCTATAATATCCTTCAGCACATAATAATTTATTTTTTAAACTTTCAAGTGCTTGAAGAACATTTTTTATTGCTTTACTATACTCTCCATGTTCTTCATGAATTTCTGCTAATTTATATAATAATTTAGCTTTCTCTTCATCTCCATATGTACTTTGAATTTCTGTTTCTAATATTTTAACTTGTTCAAATAATGAATATCCTATCTTTTTTTTCCATTCTGGTTCATCTAATGGAATTGTTGATGAAACTACCTCTTTTAGTCGTGCAAATCCTCCAATATTCTTAGTTAATTCTGTATAATCAATAGCTTCAAGAATATCTTGAGAACTACCAATCCCATTAGAAAGAATATTAATATATCTTATAATTCTTCCATACCCACAATATGATTTTATGTAATTACTTATCATTTCTCTCTTTTACTCTCTTTCTATTTTTTTCTTAGTTCATTGAACTTTTTTATATTTGAGGTTTGTGTTTTTTTTTCTTTTTTTAATTCTATTTTTTTTATTTGTTATTTATAACATTATTCATTTTATTTTAAATAATAAAAATAATAACATAAAATAATTTAACTTATTATAATAATACTTTTTAATTTCTTATTTATTTAAAAATTAAATTAAAATTTATCAAATGAGAAGTAAATTAAAAACGCTTAGAAGCATTTTCTGTGGACAATAGCTGGTCCTGATTCATCATATTCTTCTTTGGTAATCCACATATTTTGGAATGTAGAAAGTGATGCAAGAATTGATCCTCCAATCCAAACTGAATATTTTCTTTCTGGTGGGGCAATAACCTTAATCTTCATTGTTGGTGGTGCTAATTGAATCATTTCCTTTTCAAGTCTGGTGTTAATACCTGGATACATTGATGTTCCTCCTGAAAGAACAATATTTCCATAAAGATCCTTTCTAATATCAACATCACATTTCATAATTGAATTGTAGGTAGTTTCATGAATACCATTACATTCCATACCAAGGAATGATGGTTGGAAAAGTGCTTCTGGGCATCTGAATCTTTCATTTCCAACTGTGATAACTTGTCCATCTGGAAGTTCATAGCTCTTTTCAAGTTCACTGCTTGATGCTGCTTTTTGCATTTCTTCATTGAAATCTTCTGCAACATAGCAAAGTTTTTCTTTAATATCTCTAACAATTTCTCTTTCTGCAGTAGTAGTGAATGCATATCCTCTTTCAGTTAAGATTTTCATAAGATAATCAGTAAGATCACGTCCTGCAAGATCAAGTCTAAGAATAGCATGTGGAAGTGAGAATCCTTCATAAATTGGAACAGTATGTGAAACTCCATCACCTGAATCCATAACAATACCAGTTGTTCTACCTGATGCATATAATGAAAGAACTGCTTGAATTCCAACATACATAGCTGGAGTATTAAATGTTTCAAACATAATTTGAGTCATTTTTTCTCTATTAGCTTTTGGATTCATTGGTGCTTCAGTTAAAAGAACTGGATGTTCTTCTGGAGCAACTCTAAGTTCATTATAAAAAGTATGATGCCAAATCTTTTCCATATCATCCCAATTATTAACAATACCATGTTCAATTGGATATTTAAGTGTAAGAATACCTCTCTTTGATTGTGCTTCATCTCCAACATATGCATCTTTTTGACCCATACCAGCCATAACTGAAACATGTCTTGGTCTACCAACAATGGATGGGAATACAGCTCTTGGTGCATCATCACCAGCAAATCCAGCTTTACACATTCCAGATCCATTATCTACAACAAGTGCTTGAACTTCTTCTTCTCCCATATTTATTTAATGTTCAAAACAGTTCTTGTCAGTCTTTAAATAGTATCTTTCTTCTTTTTAACTGAAGGTGAACTCTATAGTTCCTTACGTTATTTTATGAGTTCTTTCTTTATATTTTTGGAAGTTATCTTATTTTCAGTTTTCTTTTGAGATGATTTTTTTTTATTTCTCTTATTATTAAAATCTTAAAACAATCAAATAAAAAAATCTCTTTTTAATTATTTGTGATGTATAACTTTAAATTTATCTTGACATTTTAATTTTATATCTTGTGAAATATTTTGTCCAAAGAATTAATTTTGGTTGATTATCTTCAAGTATTAATTCTTCTATTTTATCTTTATAATTTGGATTAATAAATTTACATTTCTGTCCAATAACATATTCCCAAAATGATGGTGTTTTAAGTTCTACATTACTTTCTTTTCTTATCTTTTCACAATCAAACATAAAAGTTCCAAAATCAGAACAAAATATAGCATCATTTAATTCTAAAAGGAATTGTTCATTAAATTCAAAATCATCTGGAAATTGATGTAATAAAATATTAACACAATCTAAAAATTGGAAGAAAATAGGTGAATATTGTCCATGAGGACAAACAACTCCTATTCCACTTCTTTTTTCAAATTGATGTCCAAATGATTTCCAATCTTTTTCAATTAATACAATAAATCCTTCTAATGTTCTATAATATTTATCAAGTAATAATTCTGTTAATGAACAACATTGACTTGTTCTATCCCATCCATCAGAACAATGAATTAAAATACTTTCTCCTTTAGTAAGATATTTAATTGCTTTTTTAACACTTATAAAAATTGTTTCAATAAGATTAAACCATTCTTTTACTTCTGGTAATTTCTTAAATTTTTGTTCTTCAATTTCTCCTTCCCAACTATATGCAGCTAATGCAATATTTGTCCATATCTCTCTAACAATATGAATATTATCAATATTTTCAAATTCTACTTTAACAAATGGATATGTTGTTTCATCTTCATATCCTCCACCTGCTGCTTTATTTGTATATGCATTTAATTTTGGTCTTGAATCTAAAACATGAATTCCTCTTTTTCCTGTTACTTCATTTATTAATTGAAGATATGTAACATCACCACTTATATTTTTACCTGTTACTGGTGTAACCATTCCAGGTAATGGTTGTGCACTTCTAACAATAACAGTTCCATTCTTTTTATTATACCATGTTAATACAGGAAATCTTCCTTTACTCCTATGTTTCATTGAATCTTTGATAATTTCATCACTAGCACTTACAGGAACATATGTTAATGATGGATATGTTGGTGCTAATTCATAATTTTGATTTCCAGTAAATATTCTCCATGTATTTGGTATTCCTTGTCTTTCAAACTCAACAACTATTTGATAATAACTATGTGAAATAGATGGTGAATTACTATGATAAATAAACATTTTTTCTGGATTTGTTGTAAATACTGATTCTAATAATTCCAAATTAAATTGTTTTCTTTCATTTCTTCTATTTTCAAATGAAAAAACATATTTTCTATTATCTTTTGTTTCTAGATAAAATAATCTTTTATGTTGTTTATCCATAGAATTAACTTTCTTAAAATCTGCAATCTTTGTTAATGGAATACTAACATTAAATATTACACATTTAACTACAAATACTATCTTGTAATTAGTTAATGTTAATTGTCCATTCATTGGTCCTTTAAAATTAATAACATCATTCCTATTCATTAAACTAACATTATACCCTATTTTAATTTGTTCTTCTGGACATCCTTTAACTAATTGAATCATTGATGCTCTTGGTGTAAATTTTTGTCTTGGAGAAATAATAGGACTAGTTGGTGATTTACAATCAACTACTTCAATATTTAATTTTTTTTCTTGTTTTGGTTGGGGTGATTTAGAATTAGATAATTCCTTAATTGAAATTAGAGAAGTTTGTCCTTTTTGTCCAAATGAACAACTTTTACTTGGTGTTTGTGTTGGAGTTTTTGTGTTTATTTTTTCCTTATTATTTTCTTCTTGTTTTATATTTTCATGAATAGATTCCTTTTCATTACATACGTTTCCTTCTTTTTCATCTTTTTCTTGTTTGTCATTAATCATTTCATCTTTTAGTTGTGAGTTATCACTTGAAAAAGACTCATTTTCTGATATAATTGAAACCTCATCACTCGAAGAATCTTTTGTATTAAAGTCTTTACCATCACATGAAGTATGAATTGTATCACTACTTTCCATGAAAAATGTTTTTGATAGATTCAATGAAGGAAAAAAAAAGGAATATAACATCAAATGAAAAAAAAATAGTCTTTTAAATTCATAAAAACATTAGAAAATGAAAATACAAATAAACAAATTCCATTCACAAAACACCATGTCATTTAATAAAGTTCTTCAAATTTAAGTGGAGCAACAGTGGTAAATTTGATATCAGTACCTTTAATAAGTTCAGCTGGTCTTGGTTGTTTGGAAGTCTTTTAGCTGGTAATGGAAGAAGTTCTTTCCTTCTTCTTAAAATGAATGTTTTGCTTTCTAATAGCAGCAACAGCAGCCTTTCTTTCAAGGAAATCTTTTTGGCATCCAGATGGTCTAATGTGTTCTGGGCTGATGTGAAGTCTTTTAACTACAATTCTGTTATTAACCTTCTTATTTACCATGACTCCAATAGCGTGTGGGTTAACATTCCAAACACGTCCAGTCTTTCCATGGAAAGCTTTGTATGGAAGGCCGTGTTGAATAGATGAATTACAGAGGATGGTTACATAATCACCAACTTTATATGTGTGAAGAATGGTTGAGGTGTTTGAGATTCCATGTCCTCTGAATGGTCTCTTAAACAACTTTCTGGTTCTTCTGTTTCTTCCGTTAGACAAAGGCATGGTCTGTTATTTTAGGGTTCAAAATCTTAGTTGAGTTCCTTCTAATATTTTTCTAATTCTCTTTTAATACCTTTATTATTTTTCTTTTTTATAATTTATAGTTATATAAAACAAATTAAAAAAAAACAAGAAAAATATAAAATGTAAAAAAAATAAATTGAAAAGGAGAATTTTTCATATATCAGGAATTTGAGTTCAAACTTTTAAATCAATAATAAATAATAAGAAATGAGTAGTCATAATCAATCTCCTGGTGTAGATCAGCTACTTGTAACAGCCGTCAGAAGGCCTAAACCAATGCAACATAATAATAATTCAGTTAAACAATTAAGTGAAGACATTTTGTTAGAGCTGAGGAAAAAAAAGGGAGAGAAAACTCCTAGAACTAGAAGAAGAACTCTAGCTGTTGATAAAAAGAGTGTTGCATCAGAAAATGACCAATCTGAAAGTGAAGAAAGTATAATTCAAAACATTGCCAATGAAATTGAAGCTCTTCAAAATGAAATTAAAGTAGCACGAGATAAATGCCTAAAGATAATGGAAGGTCAACAACAATTTAAAATCCTTATTGATTCTTTAAGTAACCAAAGAAAAGTTGTTTTAGACATGAAAGAGAATTTGAGAGATATTACTATCCGTGATGTTGGGTCTAGGAGTGATGTTGAAGAGTGTAGTGAGTTCATGGGTGAATTATATCTCAAATGCTTTGACCAATTTAATGAACAAATTAGAAGTACAGAAGGATTTTATGAAACAATAAAAAAGTATATTGATTCGTGTAGTAACTTTACTAGAGCAAGAAATGATTTTGATAAACTAATTTCAAGTTATGCAACTGTTGATATGAAACTTCAAAAAATGAATAAAGAAAAACGACCAGATATTAATAAGGTAGGACAACTACAACAACAAAAGGAAGAGACTTTCAATTCTATTAAGAGTGAAGGAGAAAAGGTTACTGATTTTTATGTTGATTTATATAATGAGTTTTTGACTATTATGCTCCATACATCTGTTGATTTAAGTGATAAAGTATCAAAGGGATTAACTAGTACTAAAAGAATGTTTAAGGATAAAGGAGAAAAATTAAATTTATGGAAGACTTTAAATATTGGAGAAGCAGTTAAAAATGCAGATGTTGAATATCCACAATGGATGGATGATGATCCATTATTTATTAATATATTTGAAGCTGAGAATCATTTAGTAGAAAAGATGGAATATTGTGTTGTTAAATATGCTAAATCATTGTTATGTAATCCAACATTAGCGACAACTGGAATGAGTATGGCAGACGTTAATCTTATTTTTACAGAGATTGAGTCTATTCATTCATTACATCATTCAATTTTTACAGAACTTAAGAACTCAACTATAGACTCTTTTATTGATGCATTTGCTAAACGTGCAAGTCAATTATATGATGTCTATAAAAGAAGATGTGCTCATTTTAAAGATTCTATGAAGAAGTATAATAAATGTCTTCAAATAGAAGCATTTAAAGATGCTATTGAATCTATTGATAATTCTAATTTAAGTCAACCAAGATTAGAAGAACTTCTTCACTTACCATTTATTCATTTAACCCAATTAGTTCCATTATTTAATAGCCTCAAAGATGATTTTTCTGAAGAAACAGATAAAACAGAGAAATTAGAAGAATTATGTTTTATCTTTACATCATTGAGTCTTTTATCTGAACAAGCAGAAAAAGAGAACGACGTTGAGACTCAATTAAGTAAGATTAATGGATTGAAGGGTATCTCTTTTAGTCCTAAAAGAAAGTATTTAGACCGTCAACAATGTACATATAACAAAACTCAAGGAACAATGTTTTTGTTTAATGACATTTTTATTTTTACAAAACCAGAACGTAATGAATATATCTTTGGATCTGTTATTGACGTTAGTCAAATGGTTTCATTTAGAGTAAAAAATAAGAAAGTTGTTGCACTTGAAATCAAAAATGAAACATGCGATATTGGATTTAAGGATACTCAAACAGCAGAGAAATGTGCAAAATATCTTAATAGTATCAAATATGAAATGGATAGAAAAAAGATTTTTGGAACAGAAATTAAGAGTTCAGTCATTGCAAGAGAAGAAGAGAATACATTAATACCAAGTGTAATTCATAAAATTTTTGATAAATTAGAAAAAGAAGCACCAGATACTGAAGGTATTTTTAGAATTAGTGTTAGTGTAAAAGATTTAGAAGAAACAATGACTAAAATAGATTTAGATGTGAATATTGATGTAAGTAATATGTCATGTCATTTGTTAGGTAATGTGCTAAAGAAATATTTAAATTTAATGCCAAACAAATTACCTATCAGCCTTCAAACAGTAGATGTAGATAATATTAAAGCCATTCAAGATATCTTAGAACCAGTTGGTAAAAGTTATTTGTTATTAATGGAAAGATTATTTAGATTACTTCAAATGATTGATAAAAATAGTGGTGTTAATAAAATGACAGCAGACAATTTAGCTAAAGTTATTTGTCCTAATATTTATGAAGAAGATGATGACTTTGGTATGAATATTGAAAAACTAACTCGAACTGCCATTGTAATGATTCAACGATATGATGAAATTTTTGGGGACTTTAGGTCAGCTATTGAGAAAAAGATTCAAGAAGGAATGCAAGAAATTAACCATCAAAAAGAATTGGAGGCTAAAATACAAAGTGAAGATGGATTTAAAGAGATTCCAGTTAGTAAATTAGTAGAAGGACATCAAGACGATAAAACAGTTGTACTAACTTTAAAAGATATCATTAAACAAGGAGATGTTGAAATGTTAGAAGGAAAGAAATGGGGTAAGAAGTGGGTTGTAATGAAGAAGAATTGTTTAATGATATTTAGAAATATTGGAGAAGGACAAACTCTCATGGTGTTACCATTTAAAAATATGATCGTTGCTACAGAAACCAAAATGAACAGAGAGTGTATTATTCTTAGAGTTGAAAAACAAAGTGTTACCTTGTATTTTGAAGATCCTAATGAGTGGTTACAACTCTTCTCTTCATTTTAATTAATTTTTTTCATATATTTTTATATTTTTATACCTTTATGATTTGGAGAAGAATAATAAATGATACGAATCATTTTTACAGGTATTTCAGTAATTGAATTTAAATGCATACAGCTTTGGAGTATTTAATTTTTTTGAGTATTATTGATATTTGAAAGATTGTTGGAAATTAATATAGTCAAAAAAAAAAAAAATATTAAATACTTAATTATTTAGACATAAGATTATTTTTATTGATACTTAAACAAGACATTTCTATCACGAATGCTTATTGACTCAAATAGGTTCGTTTTGTTTGTATAAACAAATACAGAGTTTTATTTTAATTTTTGATTGTTATTATGTTAGATACTTTATATTAAAGAAAAGTCTATCTATTTTAGTCTAAATTGGAATTTGGATATTATTTATTTGTTTTATCAAAAAAGAATGTATATATTAAAAGACAAAATAGTTTTTTTTATTCTTGAGATTAGACTCTTATTGCATTATTGATGATGATGTTGTTGTTGTTTTGATTATACTTAATGATAAATGCTCAGCCGATAAATGAGGAATACCAAACAACGAAATAATCAAATACGTAATTGATAATAATAAATAAATAATAGTCAAAAGGTTCCCAACAATAATGGAACATATTTGAAATAAGAAATCTTCTTTAGGGACAGTAGGAAAAATGTATTTACCAGAAATGTTCAGATCATTTTTATCACAAAAAATGAAATTATATTCAGAGATACAAGAATTATTTCTTAAATTAGAATTAATTAAATCAACATGTGGACAACATTTAAATATTAAATTTTCTGATTTTTTTTTTATTGAACAGACAACTTCTTTCTTAGATATATTATTTGTTAAAGAGAAGATTTACAATCATCCTTTTTATAACATATTCTTATTGATTGATTTACACTCTCCTATTTTCCTGGATATTGGACTAGTAATACAAATAACAATATCATTCCAATTAATGTATAGAGAAATCCTATAAAATAAATAATTGAAATAAACAAAGAAAACCATCTTTTATCAAGTATATAATCTTCTTTTTGCATTCTTTAAAATTTTCTCTTTTTTTTGAAAAAAAAATAAGACATATAGCCAGAAGCATAAACACTCCATTAATTACTACTTTCAATGTTATTCGTTCTGTTAAAGCTATATCAAATAAACGAGCAAATTTAACTTTTACTGAAGAAAATTGGATATTAATTAAAATTAATATAATCCAAAAAAAAACAATATAACTACATTAATTCTTAATTTCTCTCTGGTAAGTACCAACTCTGTTTGATTTAATTATTGTAAGTTCTTTTAAAATGGTTGAAAATTTTTATTAAAGATTTTAAGAATGAGTTTTTGATTAATATTTTATTGTTTGGTATGAGTTTTCGATTATTTTTGGTTAAAATTGTAAAATTTATTGTTGAATAATTATAATAATGATTCTTCTTTATAATAGTTTATTTATAATTAGATAATAACAAATTTTTCGAAATTAACAAAATTATATAAAAGAATAAATTTTGTTATTTATAAGCAAATTATTCTTTTTATTTTAATATTTGACCACCAAAAAAACATTGGTTTTACACTTCTTCGATTTTTCATCACAAAAAATATTTCTGGATAATGTATAAAGATTAGGGTGATTGACTTAGTAATATCTATTAAGTGTAAAAAAATAATTTTATTATTACTCTTTTTCTTTAAAAATTTTTTTAATCAATTTGTTTTTAATTTTTGATTCTTTTATTGAAATTTTCTGTTAAGAATGATATTTTTTTCTTCAATAATATCATGTATTTTATCTTCTTCTATTTAATAAAATAAAACCGTTTGCAGATATCTTGAGAGTTTGTTGTATTATTTCTCCTAATATTTTTAAATTTAGTTGTTGTAACAAAACAGATTCAAAATTATATTGATTGAGTTTATAGATAATAATAATAACTGGTTCAAATAAAGACATAAGCATTAATTTTTTTTTTGTTAACGGTTATTCTCATACTCATATTACAGAAAACAACTATTTTCTTAAAACACCTTTTTCTAAAAAGATAAAATAAATCAAAGAAATACACTATAATCTTTGGTAATTAAAAGTTATTATAACAATAATGTTTTATGATTAAATATGAATCTAAGTAATTTTGTTCCTTAATTATTCTTTTAACTATTATAAAAATACTTAATCTTATCACCAATTCTTTCTTGTAAAAATTGAAACAAAAGTGAATGATTAATGATATAAAACAAATAGGTGATTAAGTTTGAAAATAAAATGTTATTTATAAATTCTTGTTTTTATTCATCATTTAAACTAATTTTATTTTAGAAATAGAACAAAAGTTATTTTAATGATGAGGTATGTTTATAAATAGAAATGTTAGGAAGTTGAGTTGAGTAGTTCTAGTAATTGAAGGGAGTTGATTGACCATTTAGTCTAACAATTTGCTAGTAAACATATCTTTTCCTAGTAA